GGTGACCTAAATTTAGCGGCTTGACTAATCTCAATGATGACTGGATTCCTTTTTATAGAATGAGAGCAGACAAAGGATTTTACTCTCCTTTAAAAACTTTATTTTATTCACTTTATCACTTAAATATCACTCTTATTATTTGTTTATATTAAAAATGTCCCCGCCTGCTTTTATTTATTGCCTGTTTTATTCTTTTTTACGTGCCTGTGATGTGTTTTGATTTCTATTTTTATTCAATTCGAGTTTTTTGAAAAACCATTTAAAGAGGGAAAATTAGAACAATGAAGGAAATTTCGCTCAACTACAAAAATAATAGATAAAATGTTAAAATTAAAATTGTAAAAAATAAATAAATAAAAAAAACTAATCAAAATATATACCAGGATTAAATATGTTGTTTTTTTTTAAAGATGAAATTAAAACCTTAGACTGGGGATATCATTTCAAAGCCAGATTAAATCATTAATATCCAGTCCATTGAGACGCAGTAGGCTACATTTGAGCGTTATTAAAACAAGTCTCAATCACTGATGGTATTTTGTGACACATTAGGAACATTTAGAGGTAAAGTAGAAACTATGGAGATCTGACAAGAACATAGAATGCAGATGTTTTTAAAGCACTTGGAGCTGCACTCTGTGTAAAGAAGTGTTGTCACATTATGTCTATACCGTCTGGTTCATAATGAGCGGAGTGAGCTGCGGACACACAAGATATAATAGTGATATTCTCTGAAAGTGTTGTTTTTATTTAGCTTCCTAAAATTAATTGAGTAATCTCTTTATTTACTGAAGGTTGAGCCCCTGAAAGGGGCGTTCAAGTCCATTAAGTTAATCACTGAGCAAGACCAGGTGGATGTAAGTGAAATATTGAAGCCCCTGAGGGTCCACATGTTGTTGTACATTAGACATTATTTAAAAGATTATTGACAGAGTGCTTGTTTTCACAATGAAATCCAAAGAACAGTGTAGCCTTTATGTACACACTTTTATAAGTCTGCTTTAAAACATATTGAAAATATGAAATGTAACATACATTATGCCTACTTTGTTCTACAAATAAAAATAAACATGAAAACAATTAAATAAGTTCTTCTTAAATAAGTTAAAATGGGTTCATAAATATGCCAAATTAAAAATAATTATAAAGGATAAATGAATACCAGTGGCAGATTTAGTCATTAATTCATTTAGTCGAGGTGAAAAGTAATTTATTAATAATAATAATAATAATAATAATAATCAGTCACCTTACAAAGCAGAGTTAAAAACAACAAAGTAACAAAACATTTATAAAATAAACATTAAAAAAGCTCAATTTACAGGATGTAGAGGATTTATAAGACCAATATTGAAAAGATGAAAAGCAAACCTTCATATTTTTTGCATTACCCTTTTTACTTGAGCACCATTTGTGGGCCCTCTGCATCTGAAGGGCTAATGTAGTGGTTCTCAACCGATGGGTCAGGACCCTAAAGAGGGTAGAGAATGTGCACTGAGAAAGAAATGTGTCTAAAAGGTCTGTGAATTAGAATTGAAGCTTGTGTGTTTTGTACCTTCTGGGGTCCAAACTGCACAATCTTAAAAAATAATTCAGATTGGTTGAAAATATTAGAAATGTAGGTACAGATTTTCCTTGAAGGGGTTGGTAGTGGGTATAAATTAAATACAAACTGTGTTGATTATGATGTACTGACAATAACCAAACCTTGCATCAGATTGGACTTTAACAATTTCGATGATAATACAAATGATAATAATATAGATAATGTAACGTTAACGTTAATATAGCATAATGGTTTAGTTCAATGTCCGACATGATGAAAAGGTTTGGTCCTGTACATGATTAAAAGTCATGTGAAGATATTTCTGAAGAACACTCTTCAGATACAGACGAGGTGTAGATCATTTCTACCGAACAAAGCCCAGTCAGGACGCTTGCCTTTGTTGCGTTTTGCACTCTGTGCAGTCTGTCTGCATGAGTCGGTGTCAGACACAATAGCTGCTGCTAGATTGCATCATCAGCTAATTGTGACCCAGGAGATGTCATTCCTGGATGTAGAAGTGTGTTGTTGATTTTTTTTTTACATCTGACTTTCTTATGTTGCCCTCTCTGAAGAGATTTTAGCATTTTATTGGGAACATTTCTCCTTCAGTAAAAGGTTAAATCGAATGTGAAAAAACAGCCTCCTCTTGCAGGAGAGTAAAGGGGTAGCCCTGTGTGTGTGTGTGTGTGTGTGTGTGTGTGTGTGTGTGTGTGTGTGTGTGTGTGTGTGTGTGTGTGTGTGTGTGTGTGTGTGTGTCTGGGAGGAAAAACCCTTTGCCTCTGCTGCTGATATTCTGGCGCTGCTGCAATCACCTGCAATCCTTTCAACGCCCTCGCCACTCCCGCCGGTTGCCAGGAGACGGGGTCGCCTAGGCCACAGAGCTAATGATGCTGGGAGAGGATGAGGAGGGGAAAGATGGAGACAAAGATACAAAGAGAGGAGTGGGCTTAAAGTAAATGAGGAAGAAAAGGAGAGTGGAAGTGAGTGTGAAGGAGACAGTTTTCCTTTTATCGCACCAGTGTCATTCTCATGTTAAGCTGCTTCAGATAGACAAACAAATTCATCAAAATGTCGCTTTGTCTTCACATACCATAGAAAAACAAACATCACATATTCCTTTTCATTTCTTGACTCAGTGTTGATGCAATCAGGTCGGCTACAAAAGCCCCAGCAACAACAGCACAGCTCCTTCGAAGAAACGTACCCTCCTGACTAAGAGGCTTCTTCAGGGTTGCATCATGGGAAAACCCCTGATAGCTGCAAATAAATAAAAGATGCATGCTCTAAAAACCATCAGCAGGGAAAGAAAAACATCAGGTTATTAATTAATCAAAGGATTTGATGTTAAAAACAAAAAGAAAGGATGAACTCATGGACCTTTTACTGTCTTCAAATGTTGGAAAAAGCCAAAACTCACTTATAACGTTCTGCAGCTCACAGCCTACAAATCCCATCAATCCTTGGACTGTTGGTCTTGATGTGCATTTATCTATAATAAAACAAAAGTGTCATTTCTGAATATCCATCCATCATCTATATCCCTTTTTCCCATTCAGAGTCATGGTCATTCAGAGTCATTAGTTACCTAATAATTCACTTTTTTACCTAATAATTCACTTTTTTTGTCTACATCTGTAAATTTTGTAATTACTGTACATAGCACAGACTCTTGCACTTTCTGCTTATTTGCACTTCTGGTGAGATGTCAAACCTCATTTCGTTACTCTATACTTGTATATGTGTAATGACAATAAAGTTGAATCTCATCTCTCATCTCATGGGGGGATGGAGCCGATCCCAGCTGTCATTGGGCGAGAGTTGGGGTTACACCCTGGACTGTTAAATGAATGTTTCCAGTATTTTAGTGAGGGGGCGGAGGTATGTGTATTATCTTTTGATATAAAGATAATATATATATTCATTGTGGCATTCTTCTTCATGCTTGCTTGGTTTTGAATTTCTGGGCTTGACATGTTATTGTTGTTTTTGTTTGAACACCTTATTTCATGTCTTTATATGCTGCAGCAATACTCCCATTTATTAAACAGAGTTTTAGTTGATTTGGAAAACAGTTCTGTGAAAATGGAGCCCTCGATTTAAATCTGTGCAGGAATGACAACAAGGAGGTTTTTCTGAAGCGACACAGAAACCGCTCCAGCTTTGTGACAAAGATAAAATGCAAACTAAGAGAATTAATATTCCAACATGAGGGATTTCTTTTCGCATAGAAAGCTAACTAGATATTCAATGTTTTTAAATCAAGTTCGTTTAGTGTCCTTTCAAGTCATGATCCTCAACAAAGGTCCTTTGTCTCTTTGCATGCAGCAGCAGCAGGAGATTCATTTACATCAGCAGCACCATGTGGGACGAGACCAGCAAAAGACCCACCGCTGAGTTGACACAGCAACACACAGCAACAGTGTCAGACATTGCTCACCTTTGCACCATCCCTGTAAACGTGTGTGTCAGAGTGTGTGTGTGTGTGTGTGTGTGTGTGAGTGTGTGTGTGTCAGAGTGCGTGTGTGTGTGAGTGTGTGTGTGGGAGGGGAGAACGATGGAGACCTGTTAATTGATTTCATCCCCCTGGAAAGTCATTTCATCATACTCTGTGTTTTTAACCCTTGTCTTACGAAAGCCTTACAGCAGTCAGAGCACGGAGACCCACAGACCCTCAGGGAAATTATAAGCCCCGAGTGTATGTGTGTGTGTGTGTGAGTGTTGAGGAGGGAAAGAGAGAGAGAGAGAGAGAGAGAGAGTCAGATTTTGTATCATCAGAAGGAAGGGGATAATGGAGTCCTACACTTTAAGCTGTGCTGCAAAAGATCCTGTATAAAGAGTATTTTGTAACACGCCATGGGCAGACATTTACCTACATCTTCTCCTCAGAGCCCCTCCTGCTAGAATCTTCCAAGAAGCTGATCATAAAATGAGTGCCAGCATGGAGGTCCACAGTCCAGTGAGCAGCAGTCTCATTATACACACCTGTGCACAGACAGATATGCACAGGTGTGTACACTGGGTTTGTTCAAACTGGGGGAGAGGTTAAACTGGTTTCTTTGACCAGAGGCTGACGGTGTTACATTTCTGTTTTTCTAAGAACATTTCCCAACAACTTGTCCCAACGTGTTTACTGTAACATGCACTCTCTGTTGTGAAAACATATCACGTGTGTGTTGTTCTCAGATTTCAGGAACACTCTGTACGTTCTCCATTTCAGCGTTACGCTCAACTCCATTTCATTTGCATACACATGCATGAGGAAGAAACGTTCAGGGTTAAAAAAGGTTGTTTTTTTTGTCTCTCTTAGCAAGGTAGGAAACAATCTGAAGTATCGCCCGCATCTCCCTCTTTTTTTAAAACTTGATTTACTTCGATTATAAACTTCCAAAATCAGGGAACAGTGAAGTTCATTCTGACAGATTTGATTGATTTGAAAAAGCACCTTTTGACAAAATTAGCTTTTTTGACAAGTTTTTATTTTTGGCTCATGTTGTCGCCATGAACAACTGAGTGTTTGAATCTTTCCATTAAATATCACAATACAGAAGTCCATCTCCACAGTCAGTGCCATCACAAAAAATACAAAATAAATAGATTACAAGACAAAACAACATCTGAAACAACTCAAAGATTTGAACAAGACGACCAGGATTGCACCAGAACTAATGATTTGTCTCCGACATGCTAAAACTTTCCAAACACCTTGAACCATAAAACTCTGCCTGCTTAGAAGATAAAATCTACGTCAGGGGTTCTCAACCGGTAGAGCCTCAGGACCCACCAACTACTACGTCGGGAAAAATGATCAATCAGATGTATTTAAAGAAAGATTGCGCAGTTTAGACCTCAGACTGAACAAAATATGTGACAGAATCAGAACTCTGCCCTTTTCTGTATTTCATCTCTCCTTCCAATATTTCCTGTCTCTCTTCAGCTGTCCTATCCAATAAAGTCAAAAATGCTAAAATAATTAAAAAGAAGAAACTGAATGACACAAACTTGTTTAAAAAAAGCACTTGACAACTTTTTTCTTCCAGGCACAAATTCACGACCCACTAAAAACGGCTCTGCGACCCACTTTTGGGTCCTGATCCACCAGTTGAGAAACCACTGATCTACTTGTTACCTCTAGATTCACCACTCAGGTTTGTTCACACGTATGAAAACACGATACAAAAAGGTACAAAATAAACAACAAGCTCCATAGGGCATAAATAAGTTACATTACTAGGTCAGTATATAAGGCATACAAAAACAACATTCCACACAGTAATGCTGAGGTTAATAGAAGAAAGTGTCAGTCAGTGCACACAATGTCAAAAAAAACCTTCTGAGGTACAAGGTTGTTCAACTCCACACACAACATTAAAGTTGGCCTAACATCCATTTTCTAATTGGCCTAAATCAAAAATCACTGTTGCATTGCAACCAATCACGAGTTCTCATCCAAAAAAGGAAATTAAACATTCAGTGTTCAGGACTCTTTTCTTTTGTGTGTGTTTTATTTCAAGGCACCGTCCACATACGCCCGCATCCTCTCTCTGTGAGGCGGGGTGAAGCAGTGCCCGATGGCCTGCTCCGTTTCCTGGATCCGCCTTCGGAAGCGGTCCCGGTCTCGAACCATTTCTTCCCAGTGTCCTTTGCGAGACGCCTGCCGGGCAAACGGCCAGGTCTGCATGACGTGGACTTGGACTAGAGGAGAGAATCGCACCTGAAGAGCAGAAAATGAAGACAACATTTTAATACATTCTGTAAAAAGGATACTGATGGTGACATGATGTCAGAACAATATAATGGACATTTTTGTCTTTTTGTTGTTTCATGCCTAAAAAATGCTGAATTTATTCTAAAGTGTGATCTTGGGTTGATGGCCCGCTGCTGGTTCTAAACTTCAAATTAAAGTCCCTATAAAGATGGTTAATCTCACCCAGGGCTTTTTGTAATAAACACCCTACACTGATTACAGCTGTCAACATTTTGATACTTTTTAAAGCCATTGGAGAGGAATTAATCCATTAAAAGTTGCTGCCAATCTCCTGCATACTGTCTAAATTTCACAATTACATCGGCAACTTTACACTTGGTACACTACCAACATGTTGCAGGGTGAGCTGGTTATGTTTAGGAATTTGTCTGCAACAAGAAAATGACTCAATAGGTTGTAATGGTATGGTAATGGTTGTCATGGTATCAAAACAGGCATCAGTATCATTAGACTGATACTGGTGTCATATCAAAGTTATACAGCTTGTTACTGAGAAAACTCTAACACAGACTCCTTAGAGATGATGTACTTTCCCAGCAGCCCGCAGAGTTCTTAGTTATGCTCGTTATCAGGAAAAGACTTTGTGTCTTTCTGCCTCTGGCTTTATGTTTTGGGGCCTGACGAAACAGGCCTTTAATCCTCACGGCTTTACAATGACTTTGCAACACTGCTGCAACTTTATTTAGTCCATGAGGAAGTCGAGCTCTCTGCTGACTTGCCGCAGTCATGACTGGCTTAGTCATGACGACCAGCGGCGTTGCTAAACGACAACAAACAACAGCTCAGCCTAACACATTAACATGTCTGCTGGAGGAGGAAGTAAACCTCGTCTTAGACTGGCGGTGTCAAAAGAAACTGCAGCAGTCAGCAGAAGACACTCCCTTATGAAATATGTACTTAATTAAAATCAAGGGATTAACCGCTCCCATGTATCTGCTTTCTGCATTACAAATTAAAGGGATAGAGTCCAGATTGTTTTAAGTTTAGTAAAAACCATTTGAATAGAGTTGAATATGTAAGTATGTGATGCCTTTGTTTTGCTGTTTTAACCCCTTTTCAGTGCTTAAGACTAGGAGGAGCACTTACAGCTGTTCTTATGACAGACTCTACATGTCTCTCATTGGATGCTGTGTTTAACCCTTACAGGCAGTTTAATTATAAATTAGAATTTAATAATGACCTTTTTCTGGGTGCTGCCAGCCTTGTTTTCCTTCCTCTCCTCTGGCTTTGATGGAGGTGTTTGTCCGGGTCTTTTCCAGGGTACCAGAGTTTTGTCTGGATGGGAGTGCTGCTTTAACACCCTCTGTGGAAGTGAGGGCTTTTTGGCTCTGGATTTTTGGGGTGTTTCAGCTTCTTTTTCACATCTTTTGCTCTTCATGGGAGGGGTTTTAGTGTCTGGAACATCAGGGGGAGCCTGATCTTTTCCAGACTGGAGTGTTGTTGTTGTTGTTGGGGAGCTCTGGAGACAGGCCTGAAAGTTGAGAGGGTGGTACGGGTCGTCCTTTTGGCAGAGGGATTTCCACAGGAGCTGCTCTTCCTCGTCCTCCTCAGATGAAGGAGGGAAGCTGCTGGTCTTCTCCTCGGTGTCTGTGTCTGACTTGGGAGGAGGAGCAGGAGAGGGTTTAGAGACTGTGCTGGTGTTGGTGGTTTTAGCTGATGTGTTGGTGACTGTGCAGGCAGTGAAGCACATGGGATTGTAGGGGTCTTCTGGGCTGGTGAAGAAGTCCAGCAGCCTCTCGCTCTCCTCCTTGTCGATGTCGGGGCTCGAACTGTCCGAACTGGCCCAGCTACTCCAGCTGCTCTCGCTGTCAGAGCGACTGACCCAGATGTTCAGGCCTCGAGGCCCGAACATCTCCTCGGTGGCTTTGCTCACTGACATGACGTCAGTAGCGCTGCCGTCTTTTGCCCCACTTTTACTCTTCATCATGTTTGTGTTTGTTGAAATGCAGGCAGAGAAAAAGAAAGGGTTGTAGGGATCACTGGATCTTGACAGGGACTCCCAAAGCGCCTTACTTTCCTCACTGTCGAATTCTACTACGTTGTGGTCTTCCTCACTACTCCAGTGAGAGCTCCTCTCTTCCTCTGATGTGTCTTGTTTGAAATTCTTCTCACAACTCTGGTGGCAGCCGTCGTTGGAGCTGTCACTGCTCGACAAAAAGAAGTTCCAGTCGCCGGGGAAGCCCATTTTCCAGCTGGACTGGTGTCCCAGAAAGATGTTGTCTTCTTTGCTGGTTGTTCTGGACACAAAGTCGTCCACTAATCCGCAGCAGAGGTCGTCGGCTCGCAGACTGGACAGCAGGGCCTCGGCAGTCGATTTCCCGGTGAAAGGGACGTCAGCACAGAAGTTAGAGAGGGGATTGGAACCTCCGACCATCACACCGTTTTCTCCGTCAAACAGCGAGGAAAACAGGAAGGAATCTGTCTGGCTGGCCGCTGCGGTCATGTGCTGGATGTGTTGCCCTGTCTCGTCTGTGATTCTCAGATGGACCTCAAACCGGAACATCTGGAAAACTGGGGGAGGGGGGAAATCAGGAGGAAGACATTAAAAAGGGTTTGAAGTTTGCGAATGTGTTGAAGTTGCATTCTCTGTTATTAAAAAGCCAGATAAGAAAAACAACAAGCACAAGTTAAAAAATGCTCTTCCTTCTTTCTACAGCAACAGGAAGACCAACACTGCAGTTCATCGACTTCAAACAACTATCTGTATTTCTTTAGATACTAAAAAAAGATTTATTTAATGAGAGGTGAGGTTCACATGTGAGCAGCAGTGCTACACATTATGAAATAGTCGAAACTAAATAACTGCGACCGGTTAAAGTTGCATCAGCATTTTTAACAAACAGATATAAATATATATATGAGATATAAATCTATCTTTGGCGTTACAGAGAAACAAAAGGATATTTATAATCGAGCTGATGTAAGGATTACTGTAGGATGTAAACAAGATGAAGACCAGCATTTGTTTATGTTTCTGACAAGAATAGATAATAGGGGAATTATCTACTAAAAAATGAGTTTTATAACTTGTAATTTCAAAATAAAAGGAGAGGACTTTAAAGGTTAACTAACGGTGATGAATAACACTGAATAATAAGTTTTGAGTTTTTTCATTCTTACCTGACATGAAGGTGTAGTAAATGACCTGAACCAGCAGCCGAAGCTGTTCCCACAGCACGGTGAGCATCTGTTTAGTCCAGGGAAGAAGAGCCATCCCTCCGCTACCGAACCTCTCCAGAGCCGTCCGTTCACAAGAACCCTCCTCGGAACCACGAATCGTAGACATGTTGTACTCCTTTCTTCTCCGTGGATGACAGGGATGGTAATGAAAAGAAACAAAAAAAAGAAAGACCTCACGTATTCTGGTATTCTTCGACAAAAACAAACAGATTTCTTGTATTTGTCAGTGACCGATAGGCGTCGATGTACTGTCGCTTCATTTTCTGGCAAGTTCGCGCCATATTGTGATCTCCTTAGTCAAATGTTCTCGTGTATTTTCTCCATTTTTTGTCAGTCGATGTGTCTTCGTCGTCGTAGTAAAAGGTGAATGACTCGCTGTTGCAACAGCGTCCGTTAAAATAAACAAGCGTGACGTCAGGCCGCGCTCTGATTGGATTCAGTCGCTATCACGCTCCAAGCGTCACGTACGCAGCAACAAGCCCCGCCTCCCCTTACCAAAAGTGTGACGCATAGAAAGTGCCCGTAATTTCCTCAGCTATCAGGAAAGCCCTTAAGCGGCCTCACGTGCATTTAGTAGTAAATAGGGGTTATAAAACGAAATTGGTGACAGAAATAAACTGTAGGGATTTCTCAAAACTCCCATAGATAAAGAAAGGCAAAATCCACAAAGGCTTTCACTGTCCCATAGTTTCCCAAAGGATTGTGCAATGACTCATTTTCACTTACTGAATTATCTCTTAATTCCTATTTCTATGTTCATCACTACATTTCTGCTCCTTTATTGTAAGAGCAACTTTTACAAACAAGTTTCCTCCTGGGTAATAAAATTATTTCTCATTCTGATTTGACTGTCGATTTGTTGCTTAGCATTAAATCTACATTTCCCATATTTATTGTCTGTGCTATGATTTAGGCAACACTACTTTACAAGACAAACAACTTTAATGACTTTGTATACATAGCACTTCCTAAAGGCAGAGAGCTTTACATGAAACAACAAAAATAATAAAAATGGATTGCTATATTTCTTTAATTCAAAATTTGATAACTTAAGAATCTTGTTTGTACTACAAAAGGGAAAAAAGGCAAATATTTTCAAGAGGCAAATACATTTTTTTTAACTTTTAAAATCCTCTTACAGAAGAGTTGTAAACAAGTATATGATTTCAACAAAGAAAGACAAACAATTTCCAATTTCAACTCATTTTATTTTTTATCCAAAAAGTGTAGGGTTTATGCCACCAGAGCAGAAGCTGTAGAGGACTCGCTGTAAACAGAAAGAGAAACACACCATTAGAGGGCGCACTACTAAAAGTGAACATAGTGTAACTCCTAGGAGAGAGAGGGGGGACAAGTTTACACTAGGAGGAAAAAATAGTACAAATGAGTGTCTGTCCATGAAATTATCAGCATGTAGTTTAAATTCAATGCAACAAATTCATATATTTAGATCAAGGCAGAATAATAAATTCCAGTGTCAGTCAGTCCAATGCAAACAGTGGAAAACAACATGTATAATCTTTTGTACGAAGGGGACTGGCAGATGTGGCACCATGTAGCCACTCTGCTAATTTACCTCCATTTTTTCTAGCACAACAGAAATATCACAACTCTCAATGAAGGAAGAGCAGGACAATGATTTGTGCATCTCTAGAGTCAATGTATAACATGTTCAGTTTTGCTGTTAAGACATTATAAAGTTCAACTTGCATTCTGTTATTACAACAAATCTAATATTACTTCCAGTAATATTAGATTTATATAAGCCAATTCTTATTTGACTTAACTGCCTTCAAAAACAACAGCAGGTTTACCGCTCAGCCACATACAGAATCAGTCAACATTTTAGAGGTTGGAAAATGCATTTAAAACCAAATTATAACAAGTAAAAAAGGTTCCCAAAGCAGATCAGATACGTACTACTTCCAGTTGGGGGCCAGTACTCTCTTGGTTTTGTAGTAACGGGCCAGCCTGTGGATTCTGCTTTCGATGAGAATCAGGCGGAACTTGGCATCTTTGTCCTACAAACACAGTAAAATAAAAGTTATGGAAATGAAGTGTAATGCATGTTCATGATAAGAGAGCTTGCTTTACTGGGTGAAAATTTGCCCCTAAAAACTTTGAGTGTTAAAAAAAAAGCAATATAAAATAGATGGTGTCATGTTTGTACCTTTCTGTTTCTCTCCAGATGCTTCCTGACTGCCACAGCCTTCTTGATAAGGTGGTACAGATCCTCAGGAAGGTCAGGGGCCAGACCCTTGGTCTTAAGGATCCTCAGGATCTTGTTGCCAGTGACAAAACGTACCTGGGCCACACCATGGGAGTCCCTCAGGATCACACCTAGACAATGTGACAAGACAAGGCTTCAAACAGCGACACTGGATGCTGCTCATAAAAACGGCTGAATGCATTTCACATGTCAGCTTTCTTATGAGAAATGTATCATAAAACTTAAATGTTGGTGACAACAGGAAATCTTGGAGCATTAGCTATGAGTCATCTTATCTAAGCTAACAGACTCAAAGTTTAAAAAGTGGGGGGGGAAATAAAATTAAAAATGAGAAAGCATTCTCCACTAAAAGCTGCAATCAAAATACATATTTTATTTATAAAAGGACCATTTTAAATGTTTGACAAATGTCCCCATATGATGGAAAGTACGAGTGTTAACGTGAAGTTTGCCCCATCCGCAGTCTGTCATTTATTAAAATACTTAATCAACTAGACTACAAACTGTAGCAGACAGAATGATGCAGACACAATGCAACTACAAAAATGTCAAACTTCAGTGGTGTCATGCATTAAAGTAAAAATCCGACAAACAGCTCTTTTTGTATGGTGTTGGCTCAAACAGTAACTTCAACATGTTTTAAGTTCCTTTATTAAATGTCTCTTAAAGAAAGATTGTGTCATATGCTCAATGACTAATATAGATCTTAACCTTTAAAAGGACTTACAGAAAACTGCTTTTTCTTGATACAGGTGTCTTTCAACAGTTCATGCAAGAAAGTTGTGCTGAACTAATACCACTTTATAATTCTTTCCAGTGAACAGGCGTCACACTCATTTTCCCAGTGTGCCACAAAAAAATAGTCTGTATGATTTATACAGACTAAAACTAGCAAAATACATTATTGATTCCTCTGACCTCATTGGATCTATTATGAAGAATCAGTGAAGCTTTGTCAACGCGATTTCAATTTGGGATTCAAGTATATATATCTTTTTTAGGGGGGGCTTTGAAAGACAGTTTATGAATGTTGTGGAAAAAGTCTGGCCAAGTTGTTAACAAAGTATTGAGTAAAATTTAACAGAGGTCCCACCTGATCAACAAGACCTGACAGGCATTGAGCACTTTTCTTATATCAGTTTCCCTTTCACAAAAAAAATATACTTTCTGGATTTTTATGGGGCACAAACTTACGATATTACTACTTACTCATCAGTTTTCAAAGACACACTGTGATAAACGTGTGCTTGTTCTGCAGTCCATCAAACATTCAGCCAATTCTACACAAGTTAAAATCTGATTTATTACATCTGCATGTGGTCTGGATAACTACATCCTTCATAGAAAGCAGAATCAGCTTCATTTGAATAGGTCCTCTCAAAAAGAGCTTTGTTTCCTCAGCCAATGACGCTATTTAACTGCCACACTGACTGTTGTGTACCACTATGAGGGATTATCTTTTAGGCATTGTGTTTATTTACATATACATGCACAAAATATAATTTAATGGACACAGACGGATGATTTTAAGGTAGATGTGCGTCGACACTAGAGTCCTTTGCACCCAATTACATTAACCTTGAGTGATTTATGTGATCAGGTTCTTTCTTTGGATTCTGCCTGAGAATTCAATTAATTAAATGTTTTATGTCAAAGTCCTTCTGAGAGCACCGACCTCCATTTTTGGAGCGACTGAGGCAAAACAGATTCATTTGATGTATTCCTGTAACAACTATGTAAATCATATCTATTTTCCTTTGGGGGGGGGGGGCACTAAAGTATTTCATTTAGTAAAACATTTTAAGTGGCCATGTCTTGTGGCAGAGAAAAATGTGTCCCATGTTAGTAAATCCCTGGACCTACAGTTAAGTTTAACTTTTAAAACTTACCGATCTGAGAGGGGGTCAGACCCTTTTTGGCCAGCTTGAAGATCTGCTCTTTGACATCGTCAGAAGTGAGCTTCAGCCACTGAAAGTATCGATTATGTCATTAACACCTGAACAAGTCTCTGCATAGTTTCTCTCTAATATACTGTCAAAGGCAAACACAGGTTTCTTAATACTCACAGTGGGAACACTGCGCCTGTACGGCAGAGCTGACTGGGACAAGCCCTTTCTGCGGGAAACAACATCATGAGATAAGTTAAAACACATCAGAAGATTAGAAAGACAATACGTTAATATCAGCAATACAGGTGTATTAAATAATAAAGCAAATTAAGAAAGAAAATCATCTGCAACCCAGCGAGGTCTGGTGGGCCGGCTAATGCTAGGTACAGTGTGCTTGTTACTTTACATACTTGGACAAAAAAAAATTACGTTGCAATGGCGTATTTCTATCATTTATAGCAGGAAAACTCTATAATTTGGGATACGAACACGTTTCTGTCACTGTCTAACTTTGAAACCTAAGTTGTCCAGCAGAATCGTGGTGTGCAGCCATTGGGCATTGCTAATGCTAGCTAGCTGGAGACGGATGTCGATCTGAGGCTGTGTATTGTTAAGTCTTTTTCTCAGTCCAATGTTGAATAAAGCCATTAATTTTAGTCTTCCTGTATACATAACGTGTTTACAAGCAATATCGACCCCGTAAATCCGATCCAGAGACACAATATTTTAGTTTAAAACCGTAAAAGGAGAGCTCACCCGGGAGCGTGCATGCGACCCATGATGGCGGTAGAGGAAGAGAGGCCGCACACGCGACAGAAAATGGTATTTTGCGCCTGCGTCGGATGTGACGCAATGACGTTGAGAAGCGTTCTTCAGACGCTGCCCAGTCAACGTCAAACAAGCGTGGATCCAAGATGTTGAAATGTGCGTTAAACTCCTGGCAAGGCAAACATTAAAGACAAAATATGGACTCGCTGTAAAGTTTTAGGATATTTTCTGTTACAAAGTTTATATTATTTTATTGTGTGTTACCAATTTTTATATAGATCTATTGTTTTCACTCCAGATAGATAACAAGGATATTAAGGACAAGTCGTTAATCTCAGGTCTACTTCAGTTTTCCAAGAATAAAAATAATTGTAGCACTGAACAAGCCAAACTCCTCCATTAAAACACCATCTTTAATTACTATATTCAAACTTTGGTGACTGTAAATCTTTCAGAAATCTTCCTTAAAAGGACTCAGTGAAGATCTCTGCAATGGCTTTTAAAATCTGTCTTGCTTCAAATTGAGCATTTGAGGCATTTTAAATCCTCTGTACCACCAGCACTCATCTTTCCATTTGTTAATCAATGAATCAATTTGAATTTAGGCAGCGGTGGAAATGCTGACAACAATGAGCCACAGGAACCATTTAGTTCCTGGGAGAGAGAAGACCCTGGAACTACAAGTTCTGAGGACCTTCTTCTACTTTTATATTTCCAGCAGACTAGATCCCTTAGGGCACATTGCTGCCTCTCTTAGTTGAAACTTGGTATTTTTTTTTTTTAGTAAATAAAGTAAATAATAATAGTACTAAAGAGACTAAAGAGTAATCCTGCAGAGGAAATAAAGTCCAGGACTGCTTCCACAATCTGTGTGTGACTGGTGTTCAGACGGATTTAGTAGGTGTTCCAAAGTTAGCGTCTGTATTCCAGTGCATGATATAGCAGTGTGTAAAGCTTTTAGTTTTGGGGACCTTTGGTTGAAAGGGGGCTATACTGTATGGCGACGTCCACACAGTCAGTCACTTTTTGAAAAAAAATCCCTATATTCATAGAATTGATCTCAAACATTCCCTGTGAAAATGACAGAAGCAACTACCGTGTAAGACAACAAACTTGAAAAACTAACGAGCCACTTTTAAAGAGAAAGCAATTAAAAGTGATACAGTAAGATGAAACCTCCACATTTGTGACATCTGTTGTAGATTCATTTTCAGCCTTATATTTACCTGGAGGTCCTTTCATGAAGTTTGCCCTAACAGGAAAGAATTGTGTGCATCGTTTCTGTTAAAAGGTCACATTTCATATGTCCTTTTCAAGACGTTTTTATAAGTCTCAGAGCTCCCCAAAACATGTCTTTGAAGTTTCTTGTTCTAAATCCACTCTGATCCTGTATTTGATCATGCCTATAAACCCCTCTATTTCAGCCCTGCTCAGAACAGGCTGTTTCTGTGTCTGTACCTTTAAATGTAAATGAACTGTGTCTGACCACACCCCCTCTCTGGAAGGGCTTGGCTGGCATTGGTTGAGAAGAGGGCAGAACTGACAGCTGGGGGTTGTCACCCACCTGGGGGAGGGTTTACTGCCCTTTGTGATGTCACAAAGGGAAACTCTCCAAACGGCCTGCTTGAGCACACATTTTCTGAAAAGTGGAGCAGGTAAAAGATGGAGAGGATGGACTTTTCTCATCATTGGGACACAAATTAGTGTGAGAGAAACATGGTGAAGTGTTTTTAGCATAATATATGACCTTTAAGCCTTGCCAGCCCCCTTAGAAGCCCTGCACCCCACTTAGTGTATCACTGTGTAATGCAGTCTTTGGGTAAAGGTGGATTAAAACATGTTGAAAAATGGGAATGCAGCATGTCAGTGATTATTGCGATTTACATGACAGAAACAAAGTGTCACATCATCATATTTGATCCAAAAACATTTAATCTGCTTGAGGAAAGAGGGATTACAGTACACACTGATCCGGGTTACAGGTCACCAATTAAGAATAAATAACTGGCCATGTTAATACAAACTCTGCTCGTGTTCTTTGTACAGTCCCTAAAGGAGAGGATCAAGTCACTAGTATTCATAGTGTGAGTGTTACTCTTTGATCACAACAAACTTGTAGATCTCATAAAAAAACTGTCAGATAAATTCATCTTCATTTCTTTATTAAACATGAACAACATTTTATAGTTAGCGAGTGGAAGGAGAAGCAGCGAATCTCTTGCACAGGATGTGTTCCCTTTTTGTGAAGATGTTTAAAGATCCAGTTGCCTCTGCAGCGCCGATCGCTCCCCTCAACATCCAGGACGTTTTCTCACTTTAATATCATAAGACCAGACTGGATCTGGACTTCACTGGCAGTTATTCTTACAGATAATTTCTCAAAATTTTCTGTATCACTGAACCACTGTTAGGCACGGTGAGTGAGTGTGGTACTGATGTCTTAGCTGAAACAGCCTCACATCCAGACTCCAGTCTTAACTCGGTCCATAAACCGATTTGTGAAAGTCTGAGCTGCTGATTCGGTTATGATCGGCATTTTTAGGCAACCGTAATCTCGTCATCCAGATCGCAGAAAAGAGCGTGCCAAAGCTTGAGATACAAATTCCCCTTTTAAGGTGTGAAAATAGTCAAGTAATACCATGAGAGAGAGACCTGGTAGAGTCCACTGTTAGAAAATTTACCTGACCTGCTCTGGAAGAATTTCTGATATAGCTTTACAGAATATAGATTTTTCTTTAATAAGGAAATTTTTAGATCGTTAATAAAATATATTTATATCACAATAAGGCCAAGTTGAGCATTCAAAGAGATTGTGAGCACAAACAAAGGCACCCTGTTAAGCTCCCTCACTCAGGAGAGTGGTTTGATGTGCCGCATCTCTCGTTACTTTTGGCACATTCTCGGGGGGAATCATAAGGTCACTGTTGATTTCCTGGATCTTGGTGTGTTGGACTACTCTACCCAGAAGTGTCTGCTGCAAAGCAGGAAACCCTGATGCCTCCTATTTGTCTATATAGAAAATAAACAAAGGAAAATGTAAAAAGACCCCCACCCCCACCCCACCCCTTTCTATTCCTTAAAAAATAAACGTGTCAATCTATATATACTCTTCTGAAAGTAAGCCGTTTTGGTCCTCTAATATCAAAATGTACAAAACATTACAGCTCTTTGTTATAGTTTAGTGGGGGAAAAGAGACAAAAGAAGAAGCGATTGTTTGTCACAGAAACAATCATGATTAGTTAAAGAGGGAGAGGGGAAAAAGAAAAGCAGAGCAGGCTCCCCTTTCAAGGTTTGTGAATCCTCCTGCTCCATCGTCCTTATAAGGGTGCACCTGGAGGCGGCTTTAAACCTGCACTCATGTCATACGGGAATAACCACCGAAGTATCATGATCATTTTATCAGTGTCCATCCTTGTGTGAAGCTGCAATAACAGGATGATGAAGTTCTGAGGAATCCGGTGGTTTCTGATCAGATATTCAACACGTATGTATTTCTTCATGCATGTGTATCCACAACAAGCTCAGCTACATCCTGCCATGGCGTCTAAAGGATTACAATGATTATCACATGATTCACACTAAAGAAAAGGTCCATTTGGTGTGTACAACCTTAAATGAAAATATCACTTCTTATATTCCAATTTGAGGGATTTAAGATCCTCACAAAGACGGTCAAAGCCACAAATCTTGGAAGCTCTGAAATCATATTGTTAGAAACTAAAAACTGAGGTGTGCAGGATTTTCCAGTCAGGCTGCATTTTACCGCCTTTCCCATAATGCATGAAATCTGATTTTGTTTTTCTTGGGAGATGGAGTCATTTTTCCACGGTTCAGGAGAGGCAGGCGAAGGAGGGGGAGGGGTTAGAAGTAGGGGACAGCCGTGAGTTTGTACCACTTGACCGTCTCCTTGCTGAGGTCAAAGTCTTTGAGTCTGAGCGTGATGCCGCCCAGGAAGTAGTTCTCACGCAGCGACTCAGCACTGAGCACGCTCAGTTGGAGCTCGCGCAGGCCAAGGGTTTCCTTGCTGTAGCCGCTGTACACCAGCTGTGAAGCAAGAGGAGGAGAAGGTGAATGAAGAGTCTATCCTGCTCAATCAACATGACATGACATACGTCCATATGTTTCAGGACAGGAAGTGTGTGCTTCCCCAGCCAATGACGGCGCACAGGTAAGTTTGGCAAACATTGCGGACTAACAAAGAGGAGAAAATATAATCGTAGTGAGGCAAAATGCTGAGCGGATAAAGCTTGCTCTAAAACGAGGTTCAACCTTGGGTTTGCTTTCACCTGCGGACATGGAGGTGGTCTGCTTTCTGTTTTTGACAGGCAGGCGCTGAACATGCGGTTAGCTTCTGCTAGCGTGCTAAATTAGCAGGTTTTCCATTACAACAAGTATAATTTTCTCCAGTAGCTTGCAGTGTAGGTACCAGCAGTAAACGTACGCTCTTACTCGGCAGTGGGCGTGCACTTCTGGTGGTGATGAGCCCAGGAGGAGGGGCCTAATTTGAAAGTTGTGTTTACAAGCTGCAACGAACATTGCTACTGACTCTCCCTTTAACAGAATGTATTTGATATTTTTAAACCAAACTCATGGTGATCTATTTTAGGATTATTGGTGCCTTCACATTAAAACCCATCTCTTGTGTTTTTTGAAGCCTTGCAGGGGTTACTTACTGAAAGCTACTGGTCCAGTTTTTTTGAATTATTAGCTAAGATTGGGAATTTTGACTTTGAGTTACCCTGAGATTCCCAGCTCTAGTGTCTATATGTTTCATCTCTAGGCAGCATATACTGTATATGTATAAGATCTGTTTTCTAACCATCTCATTGAAAGTCGGGTTCCTGGTTTTCCTCGAGATCTTAGTCTTGCGTTTGGAAGTCTTGTGCGGATCTGGAAGCAGGTAGGTTTTCACATATGGGTTTGGATCTGTTCCGTCCTCAGAAACCTGAAAGGAGCACAGGAAGGGACTGTATTAAAAGCAGATAGAGACAAAAACAACGATGGAATGAAAAAGATAATCTTTGAAGGCAGCATGTTATGAAATGGATTAAAATCTTTGCTGTGTTTACCAGATCTTTGATGTGCATGACCATGATGAACAGGTTGCTGTTTCTGTACGAGATCGAGAGTTTCACTTCTCCTTCAACTCGACCAGAAGTGGGACTGAGTGGAGGCTCTGCAGTAATGAGACACATCACATTAGTAAAGCTGTTCCCACCAAGAGGACATTTTGAAATTATGAAAACAACAAAGGCTTTTCTCTTGGGTAGATGTAGACCTTATCGTTGTTAGTCAATTATAACCAAAATTTGAAATGATTTTCTCCATAAATCAGATTGTTTAAATTTCAATATTCCTCCATCATACTATGAAGAATTTAAAGGTTAAGATGTACCTGGTGCTTTTGAGGTGGCATCCAAACCTTCTGTCTTATCGTCCCGTGCAATCGGATGAAAGAAGGTGTAGATCAGGTCGCACTAAAAACCAAAAAACAGAAGATTCATTAATTGACTGCTGGAGAACATTCACATTCCCCCGCTGAGTTTACAGGTTTCTAAGATTTCAGATGTGTTTGTGTACCTGGTTGACCTCTGTGGAGCTCCTCATCAGGTTGTGGACGTAGTTGTTGAGCTCAAACTTCCTCTTTGCTGCCACTTCTTTAATGTGAGTGCGGCCGAGCACCATCTTGTTGGTAAAACTAGAGAGAATGGGAGAAACAAGGGTGTTTGCTTTTCCACTGAAACTCCTCAGTGTTTATGTTCTGAGGCTGCATGGCAACAACACACAATGACAGAGCTGAAGTTAAGTGGGTGACAGGTTCATGTGTGTTCACCCAGCAGGTGACGGTTGGATTCTCTCTCTAAGTAAATCTTACGGGGTTAATAAAGGAAAGTCCTGTATCACACTCTTGATCGCTGAAGGACAAAGTAAAGGGCAGTCTTATTAGTTTTGTCCCTGTTTTGACTTAGCCACAGCCTCCCATAAAACTTTTTTATAATGTCAGACATTTTAAATAACACCTGAGCCTTTAAAATAAAGTAAGTTTACTTGGTATAGCAGTACCATTTGTTAGTAAGTCATTGAGTGTGCAGGTTTAAAACTCAGGATAACCCCTTTCAGAGGTGATGTCTTACCTGGGTAGCTTCCAGAGAGGAAAGAGGATGCTGAGTTTGTTGTGGAGCTCCTGAAACTCATCAAAAGTGCGGAAGACAAACTGCGGCTCGTTCTGACCCTCTCTGAGGAGCCTGACCACATACGTCTGCACAGAGAGGACAGGGAGACAGCCAATCAGCTGTCAGTTTACACTGAGGTGTGCGATGGAGCATGCAGAACTAATTAATAAGACTCACATAGTGCTTGTCGGGGTTGTATCTCTTCTGGAAGGAGAAGATGGAGGCGTGCACGATGCGTCCCTCCTGTTTCAGAGTGTACGTCTTGGGGGAGAAAGACAGGATGGGCTCGTCGTTGGCCGGCAGTCCAGAGAATCGCAGCTGAGCCAGGTTGTGGATGAAGAAGTTGAACTTGGTGGCCACGCTGCCCAGACTGGACTCTATCAGCCTGCAATGATAAGGAGGAGGAGGAGGAGAAGGAGGAGGAGGAGGAGGAGGAGGAGGAAGAGGAGGAGGAAGAGGAGGAAGAGGAGGAGGAGGAGGAGGAGGAGGAGAAGAAGGATGAGGACGAGGACGAGGTTTAGGGAAAGTAGGAGAGGAATAAAGGTTGAACACTTTAGACGGAAATCTCTGAAATGTAACTGATAAGCTTTACCTGACACGTTATCTTGTGTCAGAAGTTGTTGTTATCTGAGACAGCTTAACTTTTCCTTAAATGACCTATACTGCCACCTGGTGGAGTTGGAATTTGTTGCAGCCAAAAAGAAATCAAACAATTGTCCCTGAACTGAATCTCTTCATAATAATAATAACAACATCACTGACCAGACAGCAGCTCTGTATTGATTTCACACTTTAATATATGATGTTTCTGTCAGACTTAAATGATATTCAACATGTTGCACAAACTGCACACTTCTTTAATTTACTAAAACAGACTGGGCAGATGAGTTTGGCTCAGCAGTGGGAGAAACGAAGCTCACAAGTTTACCTGGTGAAGAAGATAGTCGCCTCAGCGTCTGTGTTGTTTGGCTGCAGAGCGTCAAACACATACTTTAGATCCTGAGAGCCGGTTAGCTCGGGGAGGCCCCGAGGACGTCATCTGTAACAAAGAGGGACCAGAGAGGAGATAACCAATCAGGTTAAGATACATATCTATGAGTTTTTGCACAGCTGCACAAATAAGTAACATTATCACATTCAAATTGTATAGCCTACAAAACAAAGAGAACAATTATTATTCTTTTAAGAAAATGATTCCATGAATGTTTAGGTTTTGGTAAAATATTTATTCATGATAATTATTTTATTGAGCACATGCTATGATAGTTAATTTGAAGTTGCTTCTGACGTAACTTTGGACCGCTCTCGCATGAATTAGATTCACAGTAGAACATTAAGCATGGACTCCAACGCTCTGATCAGAGTTTATGATGGACTAAGTTTCTCTCTTGTAGCATGCAGCCATCAAGGTCATTTATTATCTTCATCTGTACTTTACTTTCAGTAAATTGCTGTGCATGTTATCATGTATGTTTAGCTAACATTGTCTGATTATTGTCTCGTTTGTTCTGGGAATTACACAGAGGATCAAACCTTCTAAATAGTATAAAATCTATAAAAGAAGACTTATTGAATACAAATTATTAGAGAGCACAAAACAGGAGCATCATTATGGATTAAAATCACTTTCATTTGAAACTCGTTATTTTTGTTTTTTGGGGTCAAACTGACGAGGGGTCTGTGTGACGACAGTTAGCTACATTCACATTTCATCATTCTTCGTTTAAAGCCCTGTGAGCTTTCTTCCGTCCTCTACTAGAGCATGAAGTATGAACAGACATTTACAGGACGGTGAAACACAGATCTATGATGAGATCAAAACTGCTTGGTTTGCATTTCTGGTTTTTCTGGCTCTTCTAGGTGTAAAAGAAGAATCAGTTCAGCCACAGAAGAAGAATAAGTAGAAAAATAAAACATGAAAACAATCAGCTACAAGGTTCAAAGTCATAAAGTTAACATCTTTGAGTTTTGGAATATATTAAAATGAAAGACACCTAAAGAGGAAATTGTGATATCTTTTAATTTCGTGGTTCCACTCCGCTGTTAGACGGGGAGCATCTAACTGAGACTGTAAAGGAGACTTTTCATAAATCTTCACTGGGACAAACCGCCTTTTCTGTTCAGGGGATCCACATGTGGACTCTTTACCTGCAGAGTGGATCCAGACTGGAGTCATTTTAAACTCAAACAGAAATAAATAAATAAATGAACTTGTTTCTAAAACTTTTTAGACTAAAAACTGAATCCATTCAAAAGTTTCAGTCCTTGCTGAAAAAACGAGGACAGCCATACTAAAAATGAGTTAATCAGCTTCATGGAAACATCTGAAACAGATTGGTCTGCTGTTCTTTCTATGTATCTGCTGTCTCTTTCATGTATGTGTGCATAAATAGCTGCCACGTTTCTGTTTTCATGCTCCAAATCACTGTGTGTGTGTATGTGTGTGTGTGTGTGTGTGTGTGTGTGTGTGTGTGTGTGTGTGTGTGTGTGTGTGTTTTGTGTCTCACCAGTGACAGCAGGTTGAGGAAAAGTCCGGAGTGCTTGCGGATGAGGTTGTAGGCCTGGCAGCACAAGTCTACAAAGAGCTGGAAACGACTGGTGGGACGCTCGCCTCCGTTGATGACGTACGCCATGTCAGAGGTCAGCACGAATGGAGCTCGGTCCCTGATGGGAAAGAAGGGGAGAGGATTTAAACTGGGAGACAAGTTAGGAGTCTGTGATTCAAAAGTCTTTGGTTTTAATCCTTTGGAAAATCAGGATCAGGAAAGTAAAGAAACTCTAGATCTATCACAGGAACAACCTTAAAGAAAATACTAAAAAAACACATAACATACGCCCCCCCCCCCCCCCCCCAAAAGGTCAAAGTTCAGATTTGAACCCACAACCACTGCGACAAGGACTATTGTGGCCTCCATATATGGGAAGTGCGAGGCTATCCAGCACTCCTTCAATCATTTTAGAATTTAGAAAGTGTTCATTAAAAACAAGAAATTACCCAATATTGCTGAGGACTTTTATTTTTGTTGCCGTGGTATCGAAACAGGTAATTGTTATTGTCTGAATTTAACTGGAATCCGATCAAAGTTTAAAACTCTGGTATTGTGACAGCCCCAGTATGTCATGTTATCAGTAAACCAAATGTCAAGCCACTTCATTAATTTTTTTATGATGATGTATTTCTAAAAGACGCTGGTTATCTCCTAACTGCCTAGTAATGAAACATAAATAGAAAAGGAAACAATCTGACCTCTATGGATGATATGAAAACCCTGATAGTGCACGTAATCATATCTATCCGACACGCCCCCACATGCAAACACACATACACGTGCACATGAGCACATCTGACACTCACCTCTTGAAACTGCCAAACATCTGCGCGTGTCCCAGGAACTTGCCAAAGTCGATGTGGAACATGTGACCGGTAGAGCGCAGCATGATGTTGTCATTGTGGCGATCACAGATGCCCAGAACGTAGGTCGCCACACAGCATCCTGCACACGAGTAGATGAAGTTTTCTGACGCCTGAAGAGAGGGAGAAGAGAGAGAGAGCAAAGGCCTGTAATATTATATTAGCTATATTATTAGCTGACTTCTTGGGTGACCGGGTGGTTTTAAAGAAAGTGAAGTCACTGACTAAAGAGACAAAAACAAATCACCTCCTTTTCCAGATGTTTACTAAAAGCAGAAGTTTTTGTGCAGACTTCCTAAAGTGGCCTAACATTAGCGGTGTAGCTGCAGCTTTAAAAACAGTAGTGCTCTATGTCTATGCATGTTTCTGATGACAAATTTATACCCGTGTCCTGCTCAAGTTCAGGGTCAGACTTTGTGCGTTAGATTTTCAGGTCAGAGGTTGAGAGTGTGGAGTACGATTTCACATTTATTGGTGTCAAAGGTCACAAAGCTCTATAACTGCTATAAACCTCCAAGATTCCGCAACTGTGTTTTTTTACTTTAAACACGGCCAAATCATTGTGCCAAACAATATTTATGGTTTTAATATGTAAGCCGTTTCACTCTGAAGTTTACCAGAAGTATTTCAGGACATCACACCAACATCTTAAATATCCACTCTTATTTGTTTTTATTGCAGCAGACGTTTCAGACACAAGCCTTCTTTAAAAGGTTTCAGGCAAACAAACTCAGATATTTAAGATTCTGGTTTTCTGTCCTGAAATACTTAAACATAATAATATGTTTTGGTTAAGGATTCAGCACCTATAAAAGTTACTGACGGAGAGCGAGTGTTTTGATTTACCTTCAAGTTTACGACACAAAGCATCAAAGTGCAGCTCAGCAGTCAAACTAAGAATGAATTTAAAATCATTACTCTGAGTGAAAAACAGGACCAACACTGCTGAACTTCGTGTGTTTTTACCTTCTCATACTCGTCCTCAGCAGGGTTGTACTTGCGGAGCCACTCTGCCAGAGGTTTGTCCTTGAAGGACCCGGTGACGCCGTACTCCACCTGGATCTTTCTCAGGGTGTCGGAGGACGGCACCAGCTCCACCATGCCTAAAAAGAAATACATCAGAAATGTCACTAAAACCATAAAAAAACAGTAACTGAATAAACAATCCACAGCACACTGAAGATGACTTTACGGTGACTTTATTGTGATTGAACAAGGTTAACGCCTGTAGCACACTCAGGTTAGCGATTTGATTGTATTCCTGCAACCGACAGGCACCTGAGCGTGTAGGTCGACTGTGCTTGGGGAACCCTGTTGGTCATAAAAACTAGTAATACATTACCATGAATCATCATGTTAAATAGACAATCATTCAGAACCCTCCGATTTGATGACTATGACATCACACAGATCATCAAAATGAAAGAGTCTGTTCAAAATCAAAGGCTGATTACATGAAATAATCATATTTTAACAATAATTGAACACCTCTATGAAGAGCATTTCTGTTCTTCTCATGGTGCAGTGTTTTAAGATCCTGTTGGTTGTCTTAAAGAAGTGTTTCCGCAGTTTGTTTAGGATTTGGTCAAAGACGGCACAAATAAAAGTTGAGTTTCTGAGTTGACAGTTTTCCTCATCATCCCTTTCTTCTTTTTTCTTTTTTTTTCTTTTTTGAATTTGGGGCCAAAATGAGTCATGATTTAAAAAATAAGTTTGGTTCCTTGTTCCTTGTTTTGCCGTCTCTGCTGTTCTCTGTTTCAGGTGCCAGTGGAAGTGTCTGTGTGTGATCCATAAGAGCTGGCCCCGCTTCCTCCTCGAGGGGGGGGAGACTTTGAGAAAGAGGTTGGGGAGAGAGGCTGCTCCCCAATGCCCCGTATAATTTGGTTTAAATTGGTGTCGTGTAAATAAACTTACATGTATTGTTGAGCGTAACTCCTTGTCTCCTACACTCATTTGTCGAAGGTTTTGAGCTGGCCGTGACAGACTTATTGAAGTCAGCTGCTTCAGCCGACAGCAGTAAAACCTACTCCTAAAGCTGCAGCTCCTTTAGGTTTAGTGATGGGTTATAAATCAGCCTGATCAAAATGTGTCCTTTAAAAGTGCTTGTTGGGCTCACATTGTTATTTTTTAAGATCATCAGGATCACTATCAGAGCTAAGAGTAAATGCATTCAAGAAGTATTTAAGGGACTGAAATCAAGCTGCTAAAACGAACTTCAGAGGTAGGATTCAGGGCTTGAGAGGTAAATACAACTAAATCAAATGCTGGTGTTACTTTATGGATATTTGTTAGCAGTTACCAAACTGGTTGAGTGATAACTGAAGTGTTTGAGTTCAGAGTTTAGTCTCTCTTTCTGGATTTTTTTGCCTCTTTCCAAACAGACTGATCTGAATCTCGACCATAGCATTCTCTACTGAAGGCAGACTCACTTCAAACCACGTGCGCAAATGGAGACAGCGAATAAATTAAAATGTCTTAATGGTGACTTGGACTTTATCTGCCACCATGAACTTAAAATGAAACGTGTACACGAGGTCAGTTTTTGTCACCTTTGTCCTTTCCAGTGGAGATACATTTGAAGTTGACGATGCGGAGGTCCAGCCCCTCCTGCAGCCAGATGCGATCCATGATGCGGATCATCTGAAGCGCCAACATGTCCTGCCTCAGGTCCTCTCCGACCTGACACACAAACACCCCAAACAAGAAACAAAATCAAAACAACATTCTGCTTTTGTTTGCCACTCACCAGCTGGAATTTTCTTCAACCACCAGGGGGCGCAGGGTTCAGATAAGAGGCATGTAAACAACAGAGGACACTACCAGTTCTGATGATAACTCCCCCCTATTTAAACCTGATAGAGTACATTTGAAAGATACATTTAAACCCCTGATGTGTGTTTATTTGACATAACAGCGTGTGGGTACAGCACCTTGAACATAACATTGATCTCTTCTCCCAGTGGGTCGGCGTTGACCAGCGCCAGTTTGAGGGGAACTGCGTTGGAGTTGAAGAAGGAGCAGGCCTACACACGCACGCACGCACACACACACACACACACACACACACACACACACACACACACACACACACACACACACACACACACACACACACACACACACACACACACACACACACACACACACACACACACACACACACACACACACACACACACACACACACACACACACACACAGATGATTTCATCCTCCACACCACAGTATACTGCAAAGTCTCAGCTTTACAACAGGATCCAATCGTGTCTTTCTTTGTTGCTTCTCTCTCTCTCTCTCTCTCTCATACTCACAACAGACTGATGATCTGTTGTATTTTTTTAAGTATTGGTACTTTTCAACAACAGAGATTGTATCATTTGAAACATGTGGTATCAAAAAGTATCAAAGCAGAGACAAATTATTCAACCTTGGTCACGAGAGTAGAATCTTTGTGGATCGGGTACATACAGTATGGTAGGAAAGGTTTAAATACCTGAATACAGTTATAATGAAAAGCAGACTAACAGAATAACAGACTAGTTTTGTGCTTCTGCCTTTATTTAGATAGGACAGTGGATAGAGTGGGAAATAGAGGAGAGAGTGGGGAAAGACAAGGGGAAGAGGAGCCAGAGGTTGACTTGAACCTGGGTCACCTGCTTGGAGGACTATAGCCTCCGTATATTGGGCACGACCTAACAGCTAGTCCATCAACAACCCTCAACAGACACATATTGAGTGATGGTTTTCATGTTACTGCTCTATGTGCCTTTGAATTGCGGCCTAGGGACAAATAAAGTTTTTTTAATTTGAATTTGAAATGGTGTGTGTGTGTCTTTGTGTGTTTTACCTTGATGTTTAGCTCCTTGGCCACCAGACTGGGGCTGAGGGGAAGTCTGCAGCTGTTCCTCTGGAAAAAGTTCTGCACGTTTTCAAGGCCCTCCTGCAGCGCCACCTGAACACACAAAAAACACAAATATATAGATGTTATATCCCACACACACACACACACACACACACACACACACACACAGAACATAATATTACAGTAAAATCTCAACCCCACACTAACCTGTCGTGTAGAACCCCCCGCCTGTCTGACCCTCTCGGCCACAGCTCCCAGCAGGGTCACCAGGTTAGTCTGCTTCTCGAGCTCCGCCCTCAGCTTGGCGCCGCACAGACACAGCAGAGCACCCAGCACTCGCTCGTAGCGTTGTCCCCAGGCGGGATCCTGCACAGCGTCTTTAAGCAGCCTGCAGAAATTACACACATTTTAACAGCCTGTCCTTCACTTTTATTTCCAGCTTAGCATCCAAGCATGGCTTCGGTGTTTGGATTCAACAAGTGAGCTCCTAGTTTTACATTTTTCTACAGAGAGAACTGAGATCATTAAAAAAAAAAAAAAACTTCAAGACTATTTACACAACAGATCTAAGTTTAAATACGCATCCTTAGGAACCCATTAATTCTAGATATCAAGAAAAAAAACTGATGCTGTGCGACGAATCTTACAAGCCAGTTAACAGCACAGAAAATTACAGGAACTTAAGGATGTTTCAGACTTGACAGTAAATCTATTAACATCAAAGAAAGATAAATATTGAATAAATTGGCTACCAAAACAATACATTTGTGCACTAATTGAAGCACACTTCTTTTAGATATGTTTCTTAGCTTGTTCATTTACTTCAGTACAGAAGTCTTACGAGGACATGCATCAATTAATTTTATTTACTACATTTTCCGTTTATTTTCTTGATATCTTGACATAAAAATGTCTTTCAATGATAAGGTCTTCGTTTAACTCATCTCGAGATAACAAAGCTTCTCTTCTTGGGATATCGGTTGAATTCTCTGGCATTTTTAAGAACAAAACAATAATTAAAGTGAAGACTATTTCAATGTTTGTTTTGTGCTTTTGCTAATCATGGGATACAAGATAAGAGAGTCAAGATGTTTTTAAGAAACAGCTCGGACAGCGTGTTCCCATCCCTATCAGGGATTTATCAGGTATTTACTTCCCTGTGAAGTTTCACCTTCAATATGATTGACGCGGACACAGAACTGAAGAACTAAGTGGTCCCCCCTAATTGCCGCTTTCAGAGGTAGTAACTGAGGCATCACAGGGGCGAGACAGGATGGGTGGAGCCAGCAGGGAGGAACAACACTGTGTGTGTGTGTGTGTGTGTGTGTGTGTGTGTGTGTGTGTGTGTGTGTGTGTGTGTGTGTGTGTGTGTGTGTGTGTGTGTGTGTGTGTGTGTGTGTGTGTGTGTGGAGCTCCAACCATGCCATGCTTTTTTTGGGGAGTTTTGCAACACCGTAACTATGAATTCACAGAATGGGAAATCAATATTACACCATTGCGGGATCAATATGATGAATGTCTTAAGGCTGATGATGGAGGAGATTTGTTGCGGCGTCGATGCAGAATTGCACAATGAAAAGGTTTGTGGTCTCAGCGCTTCTTTAGACTCACCAGTAGAGGTAGTGGGCGATGTTGATGTTGCCTTGAGCTCTGGACAGCAGGGACATGACGAGGGCGTTCTTTAGGTGACACTCAAACTTTAATGCCTGGAAACAGACAAAGGTCGTGAATAATGGATGGAGGAACTGAGTAAGTACACGAGGAAATCAAGTTGAGTAAGTGAAGGAGTGACTGACTGAGAGAGAATGTGAGAGTGTGTATAAATGAAGAACAGGAAGCTGTTAGTTGTATTTCATTTAGACATAAGAGAAGTGCATCTCTGTTTTTTTTTTTATCTGTGATGTGTTGCCAATAAAGAAAGAAAATAAAGTTGTGTGTGTGTGTGTGTGTGTGTGTGTGTGTGTGTGTGTGTGTGTGTGTGTGTGTGTTTGTGTGCCCACTCCAGCTGTACCTGAACTAGCTGCGGCAGGTAGTCAGCCAGCTCATCATCACTGCTCTTCTCAATCCAACTGACCGCCACGCTCCTCACCTCTGTGTCTGCAAACCTTCGATCACAGGTTCGCAATAAAAAATTTACACATTTATGACAATGATTCAAAGAGTTAAAAATACAGAAACTTCTTTATCCATCCTCTCTTTTGCTTCTCAAAAATAGCTAATTAAAATGTCTAGAGAAATGTGACTGAGAAATACTGTATTTCCAGTTATTTCAGATATTTCAAGTATTTCTTGATTTTCTTTTACAACGTGAGCATTAATGGCATTTCCTTATTTTTAATTCATTTAATGCTTAAATGAATTAAAAATGATATGCATTGTGCCTCAATGAACTGCTGTTGAGTTTGTGTTTGTTAACTGAAGAAAAGACAGACATGATGTTGAATTGAAGCTTCTTTTCTTGTGATGTCAGGAGCATTCTTAATTTTAGGAATAAGCACTTTTCTTTGGTCTTTGTTGCCTCATTTTTTAAATAACACAGAAGTTGAATCTGCTCAGTTTGTGGTTTTTTGTTGTTGCTGTTTGCGGTTAGGTTTATCTGGGGTTAATTTTCTGTTTTCTTTAGGGCCTGTGAACGGTTGGTTCTATCATTACACCCTGACTTGAGTATAGTTAGGATTTAAAGGTCACATATTTTGCAAAATGCACTTTACAATGTTTTTCTAACATTAATCTATGTCCCTATCCTGTCTACAAACCCCCCAGTTATTCGACAAATTACGTCTTTTACCTCCTCTTTTCAGAAAATGTGTGATCTAAACAGGCCTTTTGGAGATTTTACCTTCATGACATCACAAGGGACAGTAACCCCCCCCCCCCCCACCCACCCAAACAGCTAGGTGTTTGTTCTGCACTGAGTCTGTCTTCTCACCGTAAACAATAGGACATGGTGCAAGAAAGCCTGAGACACTCAAGCCCTTCCAGAGAGGGGGCGTGGTCAGACACAGCTCATTTACATTTAAAGCTACAGACACAGAAACAGTCTGTTCTGAGCTGGGCTGAAATAGAGGGGTTTATAGGCATGATCAAATACAGAATCAGAGTGGATTTAGAACAAGAAACTTCACACACATGTTTTGAGGAGCTCTGAGACTTATTTAAGTTGTTGGAAAGGAGGAGAATATGTGACCATCTACTCAAACTATTACAAAGTGTGTAGAGTAGAGCTCTTACTTCGATTCGAGCATCTCCAGTGCAGTGACGGGAGGTAGAACGGGCCAGTGGTGCAGCATGGAGTGGATGTGAGCCATGCTGGCCCAGTCCCAGCTGGGCACACTGGCCAGCACCTTGGGGAGGCTGCTGGGGTGGTCCCTCCGACAGTGGAGCCTGTGGTCCCACAGGAGCTGATGATCTGCCCGTTTTAGTCTAGAGAAAGCAGACAGAGATGGAGGGGAAGTTTAATTTTGTAATAAAAAAAATGCATATACAAATAAAAAGGAATATCAAAGGATTTTTGTGTTATGAGTTTTTTTCTGATTTAGCCATCATATTTAGCCACATTTTTTTTTTTTACTTGGGTTAGGGTTAGGGTTAGTTGTCTGTCGTTAGGTAAACGACAGACATGAAGTACTAACATATAACTAACTGAATTGTGTGTTTGAGAAATTTGAACTTGGCTGTTTTAGTCATTATTATTTATCCTGCCAACAGGAATAAAAAGCTTTGTCATAGCTTCACACAAAAGCAAAGCAAAAGAACCCGACATCAATGTCGGCACTGCAACCGTGCTTAGTATTTCATCAGGGTAGCTTGAAGCACATGAAATAAATTTGATTAAAAAACTTGATTAATTCCCAGTGGGGAAACTCATTTGCCTGTTGGTCAATCCAAACACACACAGACAATAAAATCACAACACATAACGAGTAAATCAATAATAAACACCTCATTTGAAGCCATTGGAGACATAATTTACAGCCATGAGTCAGAGCCACAACTTAAAAATGCTCATTAAAACATCTGACTGCTGCTGGAACAAAGGAGCTTCTAAGTAGGACAGTGATAGCCTAGCGGTTTTGTCGCTTGCCCCCCATGCACAGGGCAGAGGCCAAGCTATAGTCCTCGTTGCAGTGGCCGCGGGTTCGAATCCAACCTCTGCACTTTACTAAATGTCAGCCCTCACTTTCTCTCCTCTCTTCTGCTGTCCTAGCTAATAAGGGCAAAAATGCCCCTATATTCAAGATATAAAAAGCAACAAAAGAAGAAGAAAAATGTTCTTGCTGAGTGTCTTTAGCTGCATAAGTTAGTGCATCTCATTTTAAGACACTTTCTAAATTTTTTTTGCAGCGTTTGTCCTGCGAGTACATAAAAACATCAATTTTACATTTAAGGGAATTAGGGAATTTTACACAAAGTGAAACAACACACAACAGATCCGTGAAAGTATCGCTCCACAAGTCTGGTAAGGGCTGGAGGAATGAATGGACAGGACAGAAAGCAGGCGGCGAGGGAGCCCAGTGAGAGCGCGCTCTGTGCTGGAGCGCCAGTTGAGTCTCATGGATGTTGGCAGCGTGGAGGAGATTTGGCTGGCAGCAGGCGTAAGAGAGCATTTAGCTGGGCCTGCAGCAGCTGGAAGAGAACAGACGCGCTGGAGAAGACGGTATACAAGCGTTTATGGGGAAACTGAGGCTGGCAAGAGTCAGAGGCATCTTTTAAAAATCTCTTCTTAAACCTAGTAAGTCCAAATGATTATGGGTGGTCTGAGAGAGCGCCAAAAATCTGTCTGCCGGGGCTGAAAGTGCACCAAGAAATACTGTTTCTCTGCATGCTTGTTTGACTCTGCTCATAAACCTTTTTCACAAATGCACTCCTGAAAATTCCTTTGACAATTTTCGGACAGGCTGCCTCTGAAATCTTCCCGTCTTGGCTGTTCATATATGCACCTTACTGCAAGAGACTTCACCTGAGGGATGAAGGGAAGGGGTCTCAAGAGGCAGGACATGACGTTACAAGGACAACGCAGAAATGGCAGACAAAGGAGAGTCCGACACTATGATGAAACTTCAATAAAAAATATAAATCTTGCAGTGTTTCTTCTGAGATGATGACTTTCTTTTATAAAAGTTGTATTTGAATCTGTTTTTAATTTTTGTATTGCTGCATGGTTTTTATCCCTGAACTTGACCAATAAGAACAGACTTGGGAGGCTTGTAAAAAACAAGTAGCAAAATCTCAGGGAGGTGTCAGACTGGGCTTCTTCTGATCAATTATAACCAGCAGGTCCCGAGAAGAGCTAAGGCTATGGTGGTCTGCTCAAATCATCCACTTCACAGAGAGTTTGAGCTTTGACCCTCAGGCCGTTAGAGCTCATGTGAGGAAAACTCAAAGACTCCATGTCTCATTTGTCCCCAGTGTGATTAATATATTAAATAGCAATTAGCCCTTAGGTTACTCTTTTTGCACTTTCATTGCACATTTGCTCACCTCCACATTGCACTCTAATGACTTAGTAATAATGTCCATGTTGGTTTGAGCGCTTGACTGATTTTATTGAGGTGTTTTAATTTGTGTTGTCTGATTTGTATTAACTTTGTCTTAATTTTGATTCTACTGTTGATGTTGTCATTTTATGTGTTATCTTCTGTGTGCTCCTGCTGCAAAACAAGTGTCAAAAATAAAAAATCTGAATCGGATGTTATATATATTTCAAGTGATCGTGGTTTTGTTGAATTTAACTCAAACTTCTACATTTACAACAAAGATAAACACTCCTTAAAAATTGTATTCATGCTGTTTTGCACAGATGGCTTTACAATTATTTAGTTAAGAGTTGTACTAAATTTCTGTTTTTTCCACTATTGAGTCATGCAAATAGATATTTCAAGCGTTACTGATGAGTGATTTCAGCTGTTGTTTTCAAGTCTTTATTGTGTTTGTACAAAGGCGTGTCTGTTTTGCACATCATGCTAAGCAGCATTAAGACCACCTCTCTGGTGGAAATAACGCTTCATTTCAAAGTATTTCTGCAAACATAATTTCCCTACTAAGTATTGGAAATAAAGAGAAAGACAGAATGGATCAGAAGGACACATCAGAAGTTAGAAATGTGGATTGTTTCGACTCTTCAATCACCATCTCCCCTTTAAAGCAGTGAAACATGTAGACAGAATGTCCTACCCAAAATTAGAAGCTCTGCTGCAGATTTTCTCAAGTTTACGTCGCAGATCCGGGTCCAGTTCTTCCACCGTGGGCTCCGGGCTCGGGTCTTCCTTTGGTCCCACATATAAAACATCCACAGGTGAGTTGGGGAAGTCCACCTGAGGGGAACATAAATACCCAGTCAGTAAGAAAGACGCCCAATACTGCTACTGTACCACTGCTGCTTAAAAATAATTAAGACCCCTGCGTTACCATGAAGTCAAACAACACTACTTCTAGTACGATCACTAGTCACTACTCACCACAGTCAAACCATTACAAATATTAAATGATACTTAAACAGATACAAGAACCACCACCTACCTGTAGCACTATTCTCTCTGTGGGCATCCTCTTGCGGCTTGCTGTGGAGCTGGCAGCAGAAGCAGCAGCAGCTCCCTGGGCCGACGTCCAAAGACACAACAACCTGCTGCCTCGGGCGAGCACCCTGAAGACGAAAAAACAAAACAAAAAGCAGCAATAAACAACAACAAAAAACTCCAAACCAATCATCACAGCTGTTTTAAGACATTCAAAAAGTCGATAAGAAGTTGGAAATCGACTTGAAAGACCCCTCACCTTCTGAAGTCAAACAGCGGCATGGAGACTTTGCCCAGCAGCTCTGGAGCTTTCCTCTGTTTGTTGGAGTCCGGGGAGCCGTTGGCGTTCTGGTTCAGCATCCCGAACAGAGTCAGGCTCAGTATGGACTCCAGTGGGAGGACAGCTACTGCTATGGGGAAGTTAATCCTGCAGGACATAGAGACAGTGTTAAAAGGATGGAAGGGTTGTAATAATACCAGATTTAAAAACGTATATTATAGGAATTATAGGAAAAATAAAACAATATTGATACCTGTGTCGATACAACGGCTACAAAGACACAAGTCCTGAGCAGCCAATATTGGTTCATTTCTTATTTTCTTAATAACAAAAAAATGCATCTGATACGACATCTGGATCTGAATCATTTTTAAAGCTTCTGTACTTTTAAATACTATCGATCATTAATATTATTAAGGAGATTGTATTATTTTAATTCTAGTGGCGTCGAAATGTATCAAACTTTTAAAAATGTATCCAACTTTAGTACGACCAGGGAGGTATGTTGCTGTTTGTGGAATTTGAAATAGTAATTAAATTAAGAAAAGGAGAAGAAAAGAGGACATGACTCACAGTTCGTCCCATTTGATGTGGTAGAAGAAGCTCTTGTACGTGCCCACTCTCTTGGACTGGACCGGTTTAAACAGGTTCTTGCCATTGTGGGTGAGCGAACACATCAGGAAGTACTTCTCATAACTGCAACGAAACAACAAATTTAAGTGTTACTACGAACTGATCGGAGGCTCCGACAGACATGTGAAACAACCAGCCCCTAAGCTCGTCTCACATTGTTAAACATTTTTGAATGGTAGAAATTTGCTGGTGAGGTTCGTTCTCATTGGTTGCTCGGACATGAGCATTTAAGAGTATTGCTAAAGTACAGCGAGTCCAGGTTGTTGTGGAAGTGTCTTAATGAAAGCCCTTCTTGAATGCATGTGTATGTAGATATTAAACATATTGAGTTTATTTTTCACCTCATGATACTATCAGAACGCATGCTTTCCAATTTTTCTTTGCTGAAGAGCAAAGGCAACTTAAAGTAACCTGATGATAACATTAACCCATATTACAGGGTTTACAAACCTTTCGGTCCAGACCCCACGTGGGGTCTCATGGAAGTCAAATGGGGTCGCCTAAAATCTTTATTTATTTATCATTAAAAAATATATTGTATATTAAAATATATAGAACACAGGTTACTACGGGCCTTTTGCAGAGTCTCTGTCTGTCAGTCATCCATTTTGCAGAAACGTCGACCCAGCCTTTCTTGCTCAGTCCACAATAATATACACGAGAAAGCTTTAATGTGGTCTTTAATGAACGTTTACATTGAACACCATAGTAAAACTATTACACGATTGAAAACAAATCAATTTGAGCAAAAAGCTGAATGTGTTTTGGATGTCCCGGGGAGACAGAGTTTTGTGAAATTGGGTCACGAGCCAGAAAAGTTTGGGAACCAGAGCCATTATAGCATTATAAGGCCCTGAACACCCACAAACACCTGCACAAACAGACCTGAGAAGGGGACTCATCAGGTAACATAACTGAAAACAAAAGTAAGGATGTATCAGTGAAAACAACATGAACGTTCACAAAAAGCTCCTGCAGCTATAAAATCAAGTGTGTGTGTGTGTGTGTGTGTGTGTGTGTGTGTGTGTGTGTGTGTGTGTGAAAGACGGCTCTGTGTAACCTTTTGGTATATCTGTGTGTTTCTCTAGTTTAATCAGTGCTATTTTACAGCTGTGTTCCTTTAACTGTGACCTGCCGAAGAAGTGCTGAAAATCAATGGCTACTTATATTCTTCATATTGTGCATGAGTCCTTTAGAGCCCTAAAGCTTTTATTGAGTTACAATCAACAAATGATTCAAAATTAAATGCCCATACTTTTGGTTTGCCATGTTTCTGTATAATTTAAATCAAATATGTCACCATGGCAGGTTGGGTAACACATTTTCTTTTCCGATTTTCAGGCTTATTGTTCAGATTTGGGTGAATTTTCCCAGTCGGAAAATCACTTTTCCAATTAAACACATTGGGAGTGCAGGACAAGCTTCAACACGAAAACCTCATCTCTACATGTATAAATGTACATACATATAGTGCTGTAAATGTAATTAAAAATGATGGCTATGTAACAATAATTAAAGGTAAAAAAAACTGTAAGACTACGCTCCATCCATCCGTTATCTATACCAGCAGGGGCTTGGGCCGATCCCAGCTGTCATTGGGTGAGAGGCGGGGTACACCCTGGACTGTTCTCCAGTCAATCACAGAGCTGACACACAGAGACAGACAACCAGCCACACTCACACCTACGAGTAATGTAGAGACACCATGTCAGCAATCATGTTGCAACAATACAAGGAAAATTTCCTTGATGTGCATTTTATTTACAGGCCAGACGGGGAAAGGAACTTTATTTCATAATATAAATAAAGCATGACAAATCTGCAAGCTTCATTCTGCATCAGTAGAAACATAGCTACATATATTATGGGTTTGAATATAAAATCACATCAGTTACATTTTTTAACCCCTACAGTAGTTGGTAGCCGCTGCTCATAGCCATCTGTGTTGGCAGCTCCACAGCCAGTCATGGTGTCTGAATATGCTGACAGTGCCCCGGCAACTACTGAGCTCCAGATGGATGACACATGATCCACAAGAAGTCCAAACACTGAGCCAGCAATAAGGGCGCATTACAGTATAACCACAACACGGCTACAGATATGCTGAGCATCTCCTCTGTGTGGGGAGCACTGTACTCGCTGTGTGTCTCTGGCCTTGGGTTGAGAGGAGCTAAATATTTTTGGATGTGTTGAAGGAATGGTTGTCACTGCAGCAATGTTTGGTGCTGGCTTAAAATAGCAGCTAGAAGAGGCAGTGCTGGAGTAAATAGGCCTGTTATTAAGCAGTTTCCGTCTTTATGAAGGCATCACTGACCGCCCAGATAATTACCATGGAGGAGAGGAACTGCATGAGACAGATTTTTAAAAAATGTATCGTTCCCTCTTTAGTCTCCCTCTTTAGTCTCCATCCTTTTCTTACCAATGGAGTTCAAGGTTTCTACATTTCTCGAGCTTCCAGACGCAGGCCGCCGCTGTCTGTGGCAGGGCTCGTCTAAAGTGTACTGATCCGGGCCACTGATGCGTGAGAGAGCTGGGAACGGAAAATTTGGCTGAGCTCTGTTCCAGACACACGCAGAAGATAAAGTCAGAGTGAAACAGGACACTGGCACGGAAAAATAAGACACAGGGAGCAACACAGGAGCCGTTTGTTTAGCAGAAGAAAACAAGACTATCTGCTGTGACAACACAGCCAGCAGGACTCCCCTCGGTCCGATTTGCTTACCAATAAATAGTTTCGTGTTCCGTGTTTTCTAAAGACAAGCAATGTTTTTGAATGCAGTATTAGTGGTTGCATGTGGATTTAATGCGATTCTGCTTTATACATGAAAAATGAAGAGCTTATAATTCTGAGCTGCCTTCTGTCTTCATCTTTGATCCTAACATGCAGCAGTACAATTAAGTGGGTAGCAACAACGAATACAGTTGCAAGTGATCTTGGTTTCGTTAAATTAAACTCAAACTTCTACATTTACAACAAAGATAAACACTCCTTTAAAAAATGTATTCAGGCTGTTTTGCACAGATGGCTTTACAATTATTTACCTCAGAGTCGTACTAAATTTCATTTTTTTCTGCTACTGACTCATGCAAATAGATATTTCAAGCGATACTGATGAGTGATTTCACTTCCCCTTTCAGGCATCAGAATTTCATTTGTTTTATTGATCAATAAATTCAGCTAATCAATTTCTTGATATCCAATTAATCTAAGATTTGACCATTTTAAATGTGTTAAACAGATGCAGTTATATTTTGTATTTAAACCATCACTGTGCCTCTTAATTGTCATCTGTGTCTCTAATCATGCATGTGAGCGTAGAGCTGTTCCTCCGCTCTCTCTTTACCTGCTGATCCAGTTGGCCGGGATGCCGTGCAGAGCAAACAGAGTGAACTGAAGGTGGTCTGTGGTGCCCGAAGCTTCTTTGCTGCTCCTGCCCTCTACACCTTCTCCCTCTGCAGGCTGGGGTAACGAAGGGGAGCTGAACGAGGCAGAAGGGGGGCAGAAGGAGCGCAGGTAGAGCTTGCCCAGGTCGTACACAGCCTGCGTCAGCGAGGCCATGCACTCCTCCACCGGACTGGTTTGACCTGTCGATGATTGAGTGTGAATTCACAGAGGTATCATGGTAATAAATGGGGCCCTTTGTGACTAGAAAAGTGAGTAAAATATAATGTATGGATGCATGTCCTCTAAGGACTTCTGTAGATATGCAACGTGGATTCATAAAAAAAAGTTTCTCCATCAACATTTATTTTTGTAGCTCTATTTATGTGTAACATTATTACAGCTTCTTTAACTCGGTGAGTCAGGGAGCAAAACTTCCCTCAAACGTTCACATGAACTTTAGCAGTGGGGACTTACAGTATTTTACAGATTATTCTGACCCCACATGTGTTCAGGGTTAATCTTTTTATGAGGACAGAAACGTACCTATGTACACATGTATGTACCAGACACTACATGATACCAATCCCAGGTGTTTAAACAAGTTTCCATGTTGATTTTATGGTCATTGGTTGGTGCATTTGTTTTTATTTGGAGATCTTTATTCAGATACATAAATGACTGTGTGTCCACAACTTACCATTTGATGATTGACCAGATGATGAAGACCCCAACTAAAAAGGAAAACATGCTGGTTTTTAGGAAGACATGTTAAAAAAAATCTAAATGTCTGAATGTGTAAATTATCTAAGAGCTCACCTTGGGCGAGCGTGTCCTGGGTAAATTGACGGAGTGTTTCAGTCTCTTGATGGCCTCTGTGATAGTTTGTGTCTCCACCTCGTCCAGGGCGCAACACAGGTTCTTCATCGTCTGCACCAACCGGTCCACGGTCTTATACTGGGTACTCTGAATGCAGACGGACAGGGCAGGTTGATACAGCATATAGTTCATAACAACTGAATCAATCTTCACTGGTGCTTGTTGTGAAAGTTTGTTTCCAGCCGGTCTATAAACACTGAAACCCATTGCTTAACACGGGAACAACACATCAGGAGGTCAGCAGCAACAACACATCTAACAAATTATCATCTGGCCAGTATTTTAAATCAAACCAGCCTACTGTGTGTGTGTGTGTGTGTGTGTGTGTGTGTGTGTGTGTGTGTGTGTGTGTGTGTGTGTGTGTGTGTGTGTGTGTGTGTGTGTGTGTGTGTGTGTGTGTGTGTGTGTGTGTGTGTGTGTGTGTGTGTGCGCGTGTGCGTGTGAGTCTGTACAAACAAGGCTCCAAACAACAACTTGTGCATGCTACGGGTACATTCATAACCTTGACTGCTACGGTTATTTGGGTTGGGGGCGGAGGCTGGTCCTCACTTTAATCTGCATTCAATTACTCCACTATAAGAGTCACTGGCTGAGAAACAGATGTGCTGTTTCTAGAAAGTTTGCTTTCCAGGAATGTCCTGGTTTACCAACACTAGTACTGTGAGCAATTTCAATTCAAAGCTTTATTTATTCTCGAAAATAAATGTTGTTGAAGTAATTAAAGGTCACACTATCCAGAGCGCAGATGGAGTGGCCATATGAGCATCTGGTCTACAAATATAAATTCATATTATAAGGTGTAAACCCTGATGAAGACCTCAAAGGCCGAAACAAGGCATCTTTTTAAATTATTTATCAGAATCAGAATCAGAAATGCTTGTTGTTACAGTTACTCTTAACAGAACAAAATAGCAGAAGGAAATATAGAAATAACATAGAAATAGAAAAAATAGAATAAGTACTTGAAGTAAGATATCTGAGGAATAATAAGCGATGTACAAAGGGAATTGAATACATGAACAATATTTACAAATATAACTATACAAAATGTGAGGCTTATTTATATTTGTAAATACTGTTCATTTAGCCGTTAAAACGAAGGCCTTTTAAAGGTGTAATATTTCGAATTTTTACACACTCAAATGTCTAAATTAATTAAAAGTAGACTGAACCTATGTTATAGAATATATTTTTTTAATCAGTACTTACATTACCACAAATATTTCCAACAGTTATCAAAGCCAGAGAAATATGTTATTTTAGAGCCGTAACGGGACGTGTCTTAATGTTTAAACTAAATGTTTATCGTTGCCACGGAAACACCAGATGTTACATTGAAGACTGCTGCATAATGAGGCGTGAGTTGCAACTGAAAGCTGCCGAACTGTTGCTGTATGTGCTGCTGTGATAAAAACGTCATATACATTATAATTTGAAACATTAGCTCGTCTGGAAACATATACGATCAACTCGGAGTTTGTTTTCATCAGGGTTAGAGAAGCAGAGAGGATCACTCTCATGATTCCCCGCCAGCCTCAACTGTCATCTTTTTGTTATTCCCCTGACAGTAGAATTTACATACTGTGCATTTCAGTATTTCCTTCCTCATAGTTACATTATTCCTGCTTGGACTTCCTGGTCTCCCCCCTTTTTTTGTTTAACCTTATACAAAACCTTGTTAAAAGAAAGCTAAATTGTTCCCAATAATCCTTTCAGTTTACTTCACGGCCAGCACACAGGACCACATGTACCTCATTCTGAAGACAGATGTTGACTTGATTGTGATAGCCTTCTAGATAGTCAGCCAGGCCTTGTCTGCAAGAAGACACCAAGAAGGAGAAGTCACAACAAAGTAAGGACATAGATTGTGTTTAGTTTATTATCAGATAAGCACAGAATACTAAAGTTATATGTATGTAACTAAAGCTAAGCAAAGATTTAAATGTTTCAACTCTCTGTTTGAATTTGAACTTAAAAACATTAAAAAAAAAAAAAAATTCAATGTAATGTACAGACAGCACTGAGAGAGAAAACCCACTATCATTGGGTCAGATCATATCTTATAAAAAAACGACTTCAAAATGTATCATTAGTAAATTCAATCAATAAAATGAAACTTGTAACTAAATATTTAAAATAAAAACTAGATCAATTGAGCTCTCAGCTACCCTCAGATTAATTGGTGCCAATTAAAAGACATGAAAAGAATGACACCTAAGAAACATCTCGAAGATCAGATCAATCCCGTCATCTGAGGATGCCGAGGTCATTATTCATGCCTTTGTGTCCTCTAGGTTAGATTATTGCAATGTTTTACTTTCAGGTCTGCAAAAGAAGCTCTGCAGAGTTTTCAGAGTGACCCTAGCGTGTAAATATGACCATATCGCCCAGGTGTTGGCTTCATTGGAAACATTAAGGTGCTGCTGTTAACTTGTAAAACTGTAAATGGCAGTGCGTCAGAGTACCTGTCTGACATGGTGACCCTTATGTGCCTGCACAGGCTCTGTGTTTCCAGGGGACTGGTCTTTCGAGTGTCCCAAAGGTCAAAAAGAAGACAGTTGGTGAGCTCCAACTTTATTGAACAGTTGACCTCTGTACATTATGGCGGTATGTTTTGGTGAGGTGATCGAAGCTAAACTTGTTTAATGTTGCATATGAGTCATGAGTTGTCTGTATGTCTCCCTGATGTTCTGAGTCTTAGTGTGTTTTTGTTTTTGAAATATTTTTAAATTGTCTGAAATCTTTAAAAATGTATTTTTAAATGAGCTATGTACATCACCTTGATTGAAAGCGCTATATATATTGTACCTGGTGACGTTCTCCCTGAAAGGCCGCTCCACTTGGCTGAGGTGCTTCTCTAAATCTATCGCAGAGTTGTCATCTTCCACCTGAACAAAAGTAGTAAACATTTATCAAAGATTTATACACCAAGCATATAAGATTACAGGTGAGCAGGTAAGTAAGCCACAGTGATACGATGAGATCTTGATCATCGATGCATTAAAATAAGGTCTACGTGTTGTCAGCTTTCAGCAGAGGGATGCAAGTTTAAAATGACTCTCAGTGGCACAGTGTGACATGTTTTATGTCACAGTTCATCAAAACCTCTCACAGAGTTTACATGAGCTCATATGTTAGCGTGACTGAGTGACTTACAGTGCGTGCCAAGTCTCTTCTCATGGTGGAGTGAGAGAGGAGCTGTAATGTGATCTCATTCTCCCACTTCCTGCAGTTCTGGACGTACTCATGGCTGCCGAGGCTGTGTTTACTGTGGCACGGGGCAACACAGAGGCAAGGGTCAGAAAATCACAGTATATGTGGAAGGAAATAACGAGCGACAACACGAGGCGTAAATACACCCTCAGTAGATACGTTTAGGTCAACTTCAATAACTGAATTATTCCTACACCTCCTAGAAAAGCTAAATAACATTTCACTCGATGGGAAATCAAACCATTTACGATATGATGTATTCTTTAAGTCTCTAAGGTTGTTAACAGCTTCCATCTGGCATAAAGCTACCATAATAACCACAATCAATTTATCCAGCCAGCGCACTGTCTAACCTACTGAGGAGAAAAATAAACAAACATCTGCCAAAACAACAAAAAATAAAGTTATATTTTGGGCACTTCTTGCCCTTTATTAGATAGGATGGCTGAAGAGAGACAGGAAATGATAGGAGGAGAGAGTGGGGGATGACATGCAAAAAAGGGCCGAGGTTGGATTCAAACCCACGTCCGCTGCCAGGACTATAGCCTCTGTACATGTGGAGTGCGTTTTGGTGGGACAAAGTTTGACTGAAACATGTCCAAAAATCTGCATACAAAGGAATCAGATGCACCGTTTAAAGAGTAACCACAGTTTTGTGTGGGAGTTCTCACTAAATACTAAATCTGCCAATCTAAGAGGGCTGTCTTTACTATTACGAGCTTAGCAATCATGTAAATGGTAAATGTTTAATGGATTTGAGCTTGTATAGTTCTTTTCTAGTCTTCTGACTGCTCAAAGCGCTTTTACACCGCATGTCACACCTACACACTCACACATTGATGGTAGAGGCTGCTGTGTAAAGTGACCATCAGGAATAACTAATGCCATTCACACACATTCATACGCTGCTGCCGCAGCAGCGGGAGCAACTTGGGGTTAAGTGGTTTGCCCACGGACACATCGAACATATGGCTGCAGGAGCTGGGGACCCCTGATCTTCCGGTTGAGAGACGAGAGACTCTACCAACTGAGCCACAGCCGCTGAATGCATCAAATATTCCATTATCATTTTAATTTACAGGTCTTTACACATCTAAGGCTCTTAATGTGTGTATCTGGTTTCTCTAACTGCCCCGCTGAGAACCACATATGATCTCACAGCATGTACACAACATCCATCTGTTTGGCAGTTATAACCCTGACACATTTGATAATTTGCTGGTACTGGGCCTTTAAGTCCGGGCATGAGAGTAACCATTCCCATGTAGCCAAGATTAGAGGGAGAGGAGAATTTGGAGGAGGGCACATGGTGAGATATAGAAACATCCGTCAGCCCCCTTTTGTACACGACTTTGGGAGGAAGCCAAGAAAACAAATGAGAGATAAAAAACTGTGAGAGAGAGAGAGAGAGAGAGAGAGAGAGAGAGAGAGAGAGAGAGAGAGAGAGAGAGAGAGAGAGAGAGAGAGTCAGAGGGCAAAAGAAAACAAATAATGCCCAGGAATATGTTTAGTCAGATAAAAGTCAATTAATTTAACCCCGTTCCTACAACCACTCGATGAAGTAATACTCTTTTGATCTGAACTTTTTTTGTTTGTGTTGTACTCACTTCTGCAGCACCTCCTCCCGGCCGCAGACTTTGAGCAGGTAGATGGAGAAGTCCACCTGGTCCAGGTCATCGTGCACCCAGCACAGAGTCTGACTGATCAGCAACTCCACCGGAGAACTCACTGAGAAAGATGAAGAGGGCCGGTGAACATAATGGGATGATGAAGGCAGAGAGAGGGAGGGAGGGAAAGAGAGTGATCGAGGATATTGATGGAGAGAGAGAGAAAGAAAGACACAACATGAGACGGGGGAGAGACGTGAGGGGACGGTGGAGAGGGAGGGATGGGGGAGAGAGAAGATGTAATCAGAGTGATGTTGAATACTCTAGAAAATACAACAACACTATACTCCAATAATGGGAAATTAAAGCAACTGGGAAGCTACAAAATAAAAGATTTATAGACAAGAAATGGCTCTTTAAAGGTTCAAATAAAGCGTCTGAGGAATTGAAGCAGCCTAAATACCAGCAGTTTTTCAAAGTAATCCGTTAAGAGTATACAAAATAAAAAAATGATGGTAGACTATAATAAATCTGATGAAAGCCATATATTTGGTCATTTTTTTAGATATATATAAGTAGATATATTCTTCTCATTGAGAGTATCGTACAATTTGACCCTCCGACAGTAAGAATTAAATTGATGTGGTCGTCCATCCCTGCCCAGCACTTGTATGAGTTTGTCATGTTTTTTAATAAGGAATTAGAGGTCATGTTGTGCTACAATATCATAATTTTCACTTTTAAAATAAAGTCTTCTGTGCTGCTGTGGGAACTAAACTCTGGACCTCACAACTTTCCAACTGGAAAGTTTCTTTACCAGTTTCAAAACGGCTCAGGTTTCATCTCAAAACTGTTCCTGAATGTGTTGAATACTCACAGCCGTGTGTGTGTGTGTGTGTGTGTGTGTGTGTGTGTGTGTGTGTGTGTGTGTGTGTGTGTGTGTGTGTGTGTGGAACAATACTAAGCGGGGGGATTTTGTGGTGTTTACGTTCGTTCCGATATCTGATGTGTCCAACTAAAGGACGATCAGATGGAGAGGGTAACCTGACACCTGGCGGATTATTCTGCTGTTTTGGCTACTTCTACAAAGAGGTTTAACACACTCGTAAGCTTGAGCAGACAGATAAGAGGACGCTTCATTCAAAGCTGTAACTGCACAGGTTACTTATTAGACGTTCACACAGACACACAGGCAGGGAGACCACCCCTGGCTCCAGAAGGACGAACCTCCGCCCCTCAGAAGAATGGCGTGTCTTTTTCTCACTCTTATAGATTCAGTTTGAGGTCCTGCATGCCTGTGTGGCTGTGGCAGGGTGGTCGCAGGGGTTTTACACGTGCTACAATGTTTTGAAACAAAGCAATTCAAACAGACCACACCTCATTTTGAGAAAGTGCTGAGGTGGGAAGGGGATTCCCTGTCTGGCATTTTTTAAAGGAGCCAATTTAAGGAGGCGAACGTTCCTCCATCAAGCTTTCAACCACTTCAAACGAAAGTTGTCACCATCATTTTAGACTTCAATATGATGCCAGTAAAAGATTCCTGCTTTGATTTCACTTCAACAACAACAAAAACAAGAGCAATACGGGAACTTTCTTTCAATTCAATTTTCAAAAATTGCAAAAGCAAACTCCTAAAAACTGTCAAAATCGCACAAATACGGGGGCGCCTGAAGCCTAGTGGTTGGCGCGTGGCCCTCTGCACGGAGGCCGTGCTCCCCCATGTGGACGGCTCGGGTTCCAATCTGATCTGTGTCTACTGTCTCTCCCTGATTTCTGACTCTATCCACTGTCCTGTCTCTAATTAAAGGCATAAAAAGCCCACTAAAATAAATCTGAAAAACATTGACATGTTGCCAATTTTTACAGAGTTTAGAAGTTTGCTTGCAATTTTTGATGACTTCAATCCTTGCGTAGCTTCTGCACTACTATTAATCATTAAGCCAAGAGGTGTATCGTTTAAAAACACCCGGTATCGAAAAGTATTTGTTCCACACCAGGTTGGGAAATGGCATTAGGAGGTTTAAAAAAAAAAAAAAAAAAAGGGTACAAGAAAAAGTATATTAAAGGTCAGTGTGACACAAACACATGCACACATCTTAAGACTAGGGAGGGAATAGTTAATCTAGCACTGTAACTAGTGTAATAAGTAACTTAATATGTTTCAGGTCCTCTCAGAGTAGTGTGGGCTCCACAGCGTGAGGGCTAGTGAGAGAGCAGAGCAAGGCAAGAAGTCACTCAGCACTTGTTAAACTCACAGGAACAGCATGTGTCGGGTGTTAAAGAGAAATGATGTAAATCCTAAAGTTCATGACTCACAGCAAACAGACATGTCTGCTTCTGGGAACACATTCAGAGACAAAGGGAGGGACACATAGTATAGAGGATCATCTTGATGAAGACACACTGAACCAACTGATGTGACTCTAAGAAGCTGAGAACTTATCTCACATGTTCCTCTCTTTTTCACTTCGGCCATGTCAGCATCTGTTGTCCTGAACTGTAACCTACATCTGAAATCTCCTGCATGCAGCGCGACATAAATGCAAACAAAACAGCACAATGTCTTAAACTTTGAAGCATGTTGAGACACAGTGAAACAGGTTGGATCATTCCTTTTACTTTAATCATGGTAGACTCACAGCCTTTAATAATTCAAACTCAGTAAATACTTCATTAGATACCTTGCACACTTTCTTTACTCTCAGAAATAAATGTTTCTGGGGGTCCTTGAAGGTCTTGTCTCTTAATTGAACACGCTGGTGTTTCTTCCATTCTAACACCCTCTCAGCCACAGACAGAAACCAGAGCCTAACTCCCAGCATTTTTCCACTCTGTAATTTTTCCTTTATTAATTTTTAAAAACGTTTAGGGATTGTTTATGAAGTCATGTCTCACCCACTTTCTCCTATTTCACCCACTCATGATTTCTCTCCATCTCTCATCCTCCTACCCCTCTTTGTGTTCCCTCTCTCTCTCATTCTTTCTATGCATTAATTTCCCCTCTCCCTTCTTCAACCACAGTATGTCAGGAATCCTCAGAAGCCAATTAGTTCACAGCCCGGCCCTGGATGAATCGCATGTCTGTCTTTCTGACGGCTCTTGAGAAAAAGTATAGTACCTTAAGTTTAAAAAAAAGGCAACAACAGAGTGGGAGTAATGACTGTACTGCAGTTCATCAAAAGAACAATCTTGTGAAACTACATTTTTAATTGTAACTTCTGATTAAATTACACAAGACAATCGGCTAACGTTAATGCGTTAACTGTTACTGTAATAATGAGTCAAAGTTACAAAATGTATCCTTCAGCGCTTTAAATGAAGTCAAAAAGAACAAGAAATGTAAGATGATTAAAGGAGCAATATGCGACTCTGACACCTAGTGTTTAAAATGGGTACTGCAGTCCAATTTAAAACATTGGAGAGAGCTGTGCCACACCCCCCCCCCCCCCCCCCTCCCCAGAGTCGTTGCTCACACAGGTCGCCTATCCCAGACACTGAAGCTTCAGTGTTTAGCCAGCTCTGCATCGGTCTGTAAACCTTTCTGTGTTCTAACCTCTCTCCATTTTTCAAAAGCATCTCCAATATTGATCCTAGTTTGAGCACGTTTCTGCTCGTGGAGCTTATTAGAAACATGCAGAGGCTTTTTAGGTCGAGTACAATCACTTCTATCTGAACCAGTTCTCTTGCCCGCTTCCATCGCTGCAACACCTGTTGGTTTGAAATTTGCCTGGAAAACCGAGGGGCATCAAAAACAGCCATGTGGGAGGAGGCTTTAAACCGCCTACCTTCTCTGGTCCAAACAAATCCAGAGCATTCAGGACCAGAATCTAAAGTTAGAAGGAGGACATACTGGCTGCTGCATTGTTGTCAGAGAAACCAACACTTCAACTGATGATAATACATTAAGGTTATTTATGATTGGTTTCAGTAGATATTTTATATACTGTTGAGGGGGGAAACAGAAAGTGAGAAGGGGGCAAGGAGAGAGAGAGAGAGAGAGAGAGAGAGAGAGAGAGAGAGAGAGAGAGAGAGAGAGAGAGAGAGAGAGAGAATATGACTGCAGAGAGATACATGAGAGAAGAGGCTGATACATTTCTTAATTATATGCACCACAAATTTAGAATCTGAGGCAGACAACAGAGCAAAGGAGGGAGGAAGAGGAGAGAAGGAGTGATTAGGAGATTCTACATAGAAATCAAGGTGGAGGAAAATTATGTTCTGGAAGGAGAAGAGTGAGGCTGTAAAATAATCAGATGAGATAATAATCAGAATGAGAGAAGCAACAGAAATAGGACAGGAGATAAAGCAAGAGGGTGACAGAAAAAGGAGAAGAAAGTCCTCTCTTTCTCTCCCTCTCTTTATCCTTCTATCCAAGCTTTGACCAGAACTGAGCCCTATTGTTCCGGAGAGCAGATTCCGGTAAAGGAATCCAAACAGCAACAATGTGGGTCAACACGCTGCTGCTGACAACATAGGATGTGAACCAGGAAACAACCAACTAGACAGCATATTAGGAAAGAAGGAAACACATCGAGGAAGTGACCGAGGCAGCGGTAGAAAAGAAGGCGAACTCTGGCAGGAGCAGGAAGACGAGTGAGCCAGGAGTCGACACAGGAGAGAACATTTCGGATGGAGATCGAGGGAAAGTGGTAAATAAACTTCCTATAGGTTGTTTCTGTTAAAGTGGGCTGAACAAGCGGAGTCTGGGTCAGTAGGACAGTTACATAAACACACTTATGCATAAATGTATGCAGTGGCTGTTAGAAAAGAAACAACTGTCAGATGAATATACACACAGACGTAGAAACACAAAGCAGATGGCAGACATGAGAACATAGACGTATACATAAACACACACACACACATACAGCGGTCTTCTGCTGATCCTTAGGGACCCACTGAGACAGCGGTGAACTTGGTTGCACAGTTGGGGATAATATGTCGAACAAAAAAAGCCCGCTGCATTGGCAGACAGCCTTTAGTGTACTTGGCTCGAGATCCCAAAAGACATGTCAATCACAGTAGTTGCACTTTTGTGTGTGTACAAAGAAGGGTTAGCAAATAACAGCTCCTCAAACAGCGAGGGGAGGAAGCCTTGGAAAAAAAAAACAAGACTCCAGTCCCTTTTGCCCAACATGGCTACACTATGGCGCGGGGACAAACCTTTATTTGTGCGGAAAAAGGAACAAAGTGTACTTCCCACGACTGAAAAAAAAACCCAAAAGAAAAAAATAAGGTGGGGAGGGGGGTTAAGAGTTTGGCAGCTGTGAATGTTGTTTCCTTCTTCAGAACTCTCATATCTGCAATCTGAGCTGCTCACTCTTAAAGGCAAAGAGGGTACAAGGTTTCTTTTGGGTTGACTTCAATGTGATGGTATTACATTTGGATAGAGGTTTATCTTTAAAACCTTAAAAGACCATGATAATAGTTGAATTTTGATTATTAGATAAATTCTGATGCAAGTTCTTGAAATTGAAACATCCAGGATTTGTGTGCTTTAGTGTCTCAAGAGTAGGTAACGTTTAAAATCAAGCTCTATTTACACATGCACAAAACTCATAGTAATGTATGCAAATGTTCGGGGTGAGCAGAGGAATATGGCATGATTTGTCATCTATAAGAAGCCATTTTAAAGACAAAAAAGGTATGAAGTCGGGGTGAGCCGTTGTGGGAATGAATCAAGAAATTCTCAAGGAAATGAATCTCAGTGAGTGGGCGGAGTAGATAACCTACCAAAAGTGAAAGCCTCCCACTGTGAGGAACATAATCGAACAGGCTAGTCAAGAAGATAACCAGACAGATATGTAGATTATTTCATGAGTGCAAGTGTGAAACAGCTTCAGTTAGAAAAATTTAAATGCAGTTCTATCCAGTCTGGTTCAAAGATAGTTCTTTAAAACATATTTTGTGACTGGATGCTTACCGTCACAGGTGAAGGTAACCGGCTGCTGAGATTCAGAGATCTCTATAGAAACCTTCACAGAGCAGCTGTTGTCCCCTCCAGCGTCTCTCTGGGTAATGACCGGGCTGAGGACGTAGCCCGGGTTGGTGGACATGTCGACATGAGGGAACTTGGAGCGCAGTCTGGTAGGAGGGAAGAAAAAAACCCATTACAGAGCAGAGTCAACATTTTTCCCCCTGTTTCGATCTACTCTGCCAATGAAAACACATCAGAGTCCGCCAGAGTCAACCTGGCATGTGGAAGTGATGTACTGATGAAGTTATTTAAATTCCTCATATCTAGTGTCCATCTGCTGTAATCATTAACTATGTGATATGTTTGGCTTGATCTTCAGAGGGAGGGTAAAAGGTGATAAAACATTATGTACGTTCTTTCATTTACAGTCTTATGAGAGATTTAATGTATTTATTACAAACTACATGTGTGTTTATCAGCAAAGAAGCAGTGGACTCCCAGAACATTCAGCAGGCGTCGACTGTGTTATAATGAAAGTAGATTCCCTAAGTGCAGCTTCATCATCACTCCAACCAAACTAACTACAGGAGAGAGAGAGACCGAGCGAGCTCAGGAAACTAAGGGATCGCAAAACATGCAATTATGTTATATACATGGAAATGTGTAAGGATGCATTTACAATTACGTACAAAAAACAAAATAATGCTATTTCCAGACATACTACATGGACCCTGTTGGTTTGACATAAATATCTAAACAACTACTTCATCCCTGAAGAATGAATCCCTTTGACTGTGGTGGTCTCATGAGACTTTTCACCAGAAAGCTCACTCATCAATTATCCTTTACTTTCTCAACATATATTGAATAGACTGGCAAAATATTTGGTTCAGCCATTCATTGTTCCCAGATGATGATTACCAACAGCGTCTCTGCTCCTACCACTGTAACGTTGATATTCATATTCAGGTGCCGTTAAATGTCTCAAAAGCCTTTGTAAGGATTTGGATTTTTCGACTACATTTTTAAAATTGATAGAATCTCTCTTATAGCAGTGATTCTATATTCTATCTATTTCATAAGATAGGTTAGTAGGAGAGTAATGACTCCAAGAAAAATTGCAGGCCAACTCCCTCACACTGTCTAAACTGCACAAAAATTCAATACATAAATCTTGCGGATGTTTTTTGTGCAATGTAGACCGTGTGCAGGAGTTTGCCTGCAACTTTAGATAATTTTGGCTTTTTAATGCCTTTATTTTTTTAAGAGATAGGACAGTGTATAGAGTCAGAAACCAGGGAGAGAGAGAGCAGAGACTGACATGCTAGAAAGGAGCCACAGGTTGGGGCCGCCTGCTCTCGAGGACGTAAGCCTCTGAACTTAAAAAGGAATATTGGGTGTCCAGGACTTCTGTTTTTTGTTGCTGTGGCATCAAAACAGATATCCATATTGTCTGATTTGTACTAGTATCATTAATTATTTTAAAATGTCAATATCGTGACAATATCTGTTATTACTTTCTTTTCTTCCAGGTGGAGCAGGTTAGCAGTTCTGCAAAGCACATTAAACCTTTAAAGGTCACATATTATGCAAATAAAACTTCACCATGTTTTTCTTACACTAATATGTGTCCCTAGTCTGTCTACAAACCCCCCCAATGATGAGAAAAGTCCATCCTCTCTGTCTTTTACCTGCTCCACTTTTCAGAAAATGTGTGCTCAAACAGGCCGTTTGGAGATTTTCCCTTCATGACATCACAAAAGGCAGTAACCCCTTCCCCAGGTGGATGACACTCCCACAGCTAGGTGTTTGTTCTGCCCTCTGAGTCTGCCTTCTCACCGTAAACAATAGGACATACATAGCTCCCTCTCTGGAAGCCACCCAAGCTCTTCCAGAGAGGGAGCGTGGTCAGACACAGCTCATTTACATTTAAAGCTAAAGACACAGAAACAGCCTGTTCTGAGCTGGGCTGAAATAGAGGGGTTTATAGGCATGATCAAATACAGGATCAGAGTGGATTTAGAACAAGAAACTTCACACACATGTTTTGGGGAGCTCTGAGACTTATTTAAACTGGTTGAAAATGAGTAAAATATGTGACCTTTAATACATCTTTAAATTGGAACAAAATAACGAAACAAACCAAAAAGGGTCAGGACATGTTAAAGGAGAGCTTTAATTTCAGGGCAGCAGGAAGGATCTTACGTTGCTACGTCTTCACAGAAGGCGACAACCTCCAGGTTTTGGGCGTCCTGCTCTTCCAGGGCAGCATTCTTCACCAAGCCCTTTCCTTTCCCCTTCTCCTATAAGAGAAAAAGAGAGACAGAGTCAGGGAACTAGTAGAACACATGGAAAACATGCAGATATTATATATTGCAAACAAAAGCAGGCTATGAGAGAGTCACAGGATATGCAGACATTGAGTGACTGCCTTTGTCATTTATAGTTTGTCGAGCAAATCTGAGCCCCGTTTATCAGTTTGACAGGACTGACTGAGGACAACAAGGCTGAGGCGACGTCTTTAGGGTGATTTGTGTCTGAGGATTAAAGAAGGGGCAGATTTATTAAAAGCACCTCTGAGCTATGAATCCTACAGAGTGAAAAACATGTCAGCAAGGGGCTAAAGTTATCTCCAGCTCTTTCTCACTTTGTCTCCTAGAATGAAAAAATAAACCCATTAGTTTAACGTTTAACTAAGGTTTAGTTTTCAATCATAGTCTCTCTTTCTCTCAATTATCTGGCTTTCTATAGTAATAAAAGTTTAAGAAAGCAAAGAAAACATAATTTTATAGTTTTTTTTAAATTCATAGACATTAAAAAACTGTGTTGAAAGAGTTATATCTGTCTGTCTCTCGCTCTCTCTCTCTCTCACTCACAGAGTCACTGAGACAGCCCTCTTTCCAGGAGGCTGGCTTGTTGCCGGGAACTCACAGCTACACTCGACGTTTTTTTTTTTTTTTACTGCTGTCTTACTGCCAGTCGCTGAGGAATGCGCTTCCTCTGGTGCAGGAAATGAGAAGTGAAAGGGACCTGCCCCTTCCTGTACTAAGCTCTGCGCTGTCTGCAAAAATGCTCTGTCATGGGTTGGAAATCTGTGAGTCTGACATCATCCCAACGAGAGAGAGAGCAGTAGAAGGAGAGAAAAGGGAAATGTTTGGGATGCCATGATAGATGAATCCTGCTCAAAACATGCTTCAGTGTACGAGGACAGTCAATGTGCTTTACTCTGGGGCGGTGCAATTAATCAGAATTTCTTTATTATTGCAATATGTGCATCTAAAACAAACAAATCACAGAAGTCAGAATGCATGGCAAACCATACAATTAGCTATGAGGGGGGAGAGACTTGTGTAGCCTAAAATAAGAATTAATCGATAAAATACATTTCTTGCCCAGCCCTAATTCCTGCCAATTTCTTTTTTTCCAATTAGATAATCAATTTGCTTTGAATTCAAAACACCAATACTTTCTGTGTTCAGTGGAGCAAGTTCAAACATTTCATGAATTAATACAAATAGTTTAATTTCTCCTTGTTTTCTGTGACCTACAACTATCTGTAAGAAGCAAAATACAGAAAATGATCGACAATGACGTCCAGAACAGTTACCCAAGATATCATTGAGACCAGGGATGGTCAACTTTGGTCACAGCAAGGGCCACATTCATTAAAGTCTCACTGCCAGAGGGCCAAATTGTAGAATACAAAAATGTTTACAGTCAATGTCTCAAATTTAACTCAACATATACCAGTGATCAAATATTATTATGGACATATTTTTCTGGTTTTCATGATTTCATGGCAGATTTTGTCATGTTTTCTTCATGTTTCCAATTAATAGATATGTAAAAATTGACCTGAGGGCCATGTTTAAGGTTGATGGGGGCTGCATGTGGCCCCTGGGCCGCCAGTTGCCCACCCCTGATTTAGACCATAACAGTGCAGCTCTGAGAGCAGAGACGTCTTGTTCAAAGATGAGCTGACTAACCACCAGGAGATAGAAATCTCTAAGTCAGCATGGAGCCTGGAAAGGAGGCCAAGCAAGACACCAAACCACCTGCATCTCCCAGCAAGGCACAGAGAGGACACTGGGTTCCTGCTTGCACAATTTCTGTCTCCATTTTTCCCTCCTTTTTAACAGCTTTACAAATTTAAAAAAAGTCTAAAGAACAGACAAATTATGTGACAGAGTGAGGTGACAGAGATAGGGAAAGAAACAAAATAAGAAGGGTTTAGAGGTCATAAAACAAAAGGTCAAAGAGGGAGTAAAAATTATAGAGATAGCTGAAGGAAACATAAACAAAAATAGAAAGAAGTAGACTAAAAGAGCATGTTCCAAGTGTTTATGCTTGAGTTAGGTTTGCTGCAGTGAAAACAAACATGGACAAATACTCCAAAAGAGGTCGTTTTAGCTGTCACAGTACAACACACACACACACACTCAGCAGGCCGTACAGTGGGACAGGCCCAGCTTTGTTTCATTTTATCGATTTTTGTTGGACACGGACGTAGAGCTCCTGGTGTTTCAAGTCATGAGAACGGCTTCATATGATTCACACGTTGACTTATCCTTTTCTCTGCTTTCATTGTGATGTGTCAAAGTAGTGACTGTGATTTCAGGAACACACTGTACAACATGAAGGACGATTAGAAACGTAACGAAGGCTGGTATTCAGGGTCAGAGAGAGATAGGGACCTGCAGTGTGTGATCTGTGGTTTGAGCTGCTTAATGATGGAAATCTAAACAGAGATGACCCTAATATGTAAAAAAGTCCATTATTATGTGGTACTGTTTCTTTGGGGATTGCCAGAGGCCGAAAGATAAAATATTGTTAAAACATCTTTGTCATTATGAAGATTTCCATCCATTGTCTTTCAAACTGTAACTGATAGGCCCTGAGACCACCTAGTGATTTTTTCTGTGCGCCAGCATCTTCTTTTCAATTGTTTTCAATTAGGATAGAGCGTGCGCAGCAGCCAGCGTCCAATTTCCGAGCACTTTGCCTTTTTTGTGTGGTCTCTCCAAGCGCTCAAGTTGAAAATGTATGATATTCCCTGTAGTTTTGCAGCCTACAGATCGTGTCTTGTACCCACATCCTCTTTGCTCTGTGTCTGATTGGGAAATAAACGATCTCAAATATAAAATATGCAGTAAAAAGTAACAGAGCCGTGTTGATCATACAGCGGCCGTTGTCAACAGTGTTGTCATAGAGACAGGATGGACTAGAATATTGGGAAAAAAAACATGCTACATCAATATTTCCCCCTATCATTATCACGTGAACAATATTAATGCATTTAAGATACTCTTAGTTAAACTGGTGAATTACGTTGATCTTTTAAATATGTTTCCCAACAATGATGTGAAATTCTTCTTATTTTTTTGAAGATAGATGATTTCCTTGATGCCTATTTCCTAACTTGTAGACAGGCAAGATAAGGAACTCGTCAAAGTGATAGGACAGACTGTTTGGACAAATGTCTGTATTGGAAATATGCAAGCGTGTTTAAGAGGAGTTTTTTGTCCTGGATGTCCTTCATCATTTAGCTGGCCACATTCTGATCCAGAGTGAGACTTGATCAAATAATGAAAGTGATAATGTCATTTCTACTAAATGACACAGACATCAAACTATTCATGCTATTTTCCTGGGGCAGCTTAACCTCAAAGTTGACAGAAGAGAACTGTTACACAACAGTTTTTTAGACATATTAAATGATGATAGTTTTTTTTTCCTTTAATGGACAAACAACATGAGCCCAAAACTACAGGGATGGTGAGATGTCTTATAGTCACAGGCTCTTTGGTGCCAATTGGGCACTTTTTCTAAAAAAAAAAAGAAAAAAAAGAAATGTGGTGCACACATGTAGCCATGTCCTCATGAACATATCTATGATATAAACAAAGCAGGAAGAAGGACATGCTGATAAAACCTTTGTTACAAATAAGATAGCACAAGGTATTCTCATGAGTAACATTTACTATGAACAGAAACTCTGAGTTATTGGAGGTTCAATATCTGCAGTTTGAACCATTATGCTGATGATGATATATAACTTTGATTTTCTTCTTTTTAGATAAATGTGATATAAACCAACAGACAACAAAGAGCAGATGTACAATTCTCCATTTTATTATCCTTTGCATAATAAATGAAACGTACATTATATTTGTGTTGTAAATGTGTTGTAAATGCTGATGGATGTATACCACTTGTCTAGCCCTCTGACTACTCAAAGTGCTTTTACACCGCAGGTCACATCTACACATTCACACACTGATGGTAGAGGTTGCTATTTAAAGAGACCATTGGAAGTAACTAATCCAATTCACACACATTCATACGCCGCTGACGAAGCAGCGGGAGCAATTCACTCGACAATAATAAATTAGTGATGCCATGCAAGAGTACTGTGATATTTGGATGTGCAAACACCTCCTTTCAAACACTTAATCACTTTGAAGCGTTTCCTTGTTTAGCTGCTAATCAAGTACAGATGTCAAACTAGAGCAGATAATCATTGTGTTGACTCTGGAGTGAAACAGACAAAAAACCTATGAGATGGAGAGCCTTTTTGGTATCTCCCATGGGACACTCTCAGACCTGTCTCAGCTCAGCAGCAGAACTGAAAGACTTCAGCCACGACTTGCGGCTGCGTGTAATTCCAATCCCAACACCAGTGTTGAGTTTCAGCACTCATCTAGACATCAGACACCTCCTCTCCTCTTCTCTGTGCCAGCTTAATGACAATTAGCCTGTGGACTGTGCAAAGGAAACCTGGACTGTCAGTGTATCATGAGCTTGAAGCTTGAACTTCAAATCTGAGAAAAGCAGCAAAAATGTGTCAAATAAAAAGTTTAAACCTCGAGTTGCAACATGCAAGTCTCAACCTTTCACAGTGTAGTGCTGTTGCTGCAGGCTTTATTTACAACAAAGCTCTGTTTTGAAATAGTGAGTGATGCCTTCATGCTGATCCAGCACTTAGTGAGGAGATGAGGATTGATTTTTAACGGGCTGTGAATACTCAGCAACCTCTTAGTGGGGGCTAAAATGTTTTTGGCTGCATACGTGAAGAGCATTTTTTTTTTAACACTACTGTTTCAATCGATACCACTGGGTGCCTGTGAGACGCCACAGTTGAGCGGAACAAGCAGCTTAGAAAACACACATCAACTTCTTCTCTAAATCAGGAAGTGACAGAACTCACACTTCCTGTGTGATGAATTGAACTCCCCGTGGTAAAAGGGACAGACAAGCTCTCAAACACGCACTTTGATTAGTTTGCTGTAAGGATATGTGATAA